CCAYGCAGATGGCAGATGGAATAGCCTTTGGTGGATGTGAGCTGAGAAATGGAGGAATGTAAATGGGCCAGGGAGCCAGAAGAAGAGCAACTGACAAAGAACTGACAAAGCCTCATATGACCATGAAGAGAAGCTTATCCTGACTCTAACTACAACTGAGAGAAACTTTCATATGGTTCAAACCAAGGAACCATGTGATGTGATTTCTGTTTTAAAACAGAGAATGCTCTGTGGAAAATAGAAGCAAGGGTAAAAGCAGAGGCAATTTGGGARGTGGAGGGAAGAAATTTGCAAGAGCACAACTACTTTGGCAGCCATTAATATGTAGTTGAGAAAACAGCAAATTAAAACAATTATAAATTTACTGAGGCCATTCCAAAAGTGTCTGAGTGAGTTTGGGCAACTGGAGAAACCTGTTTTAAGGGTGCATCTTAATCAGTAACAGATTTGCCCRGGCTCGTGGGCCAGGAGAGCTGTCTACCCCATAATGGTACAGGAGAGCACAGGGCCTACCTCATAAAACCAAGTGGCACTTAAAGAAGGCAGATTCCTTTTCATTTTTAGTTAAGGTAAAGTTGAAGAATAACCAGAATCTATGTCAGTCCTAGATATCTCAGGGCTGAGATAACTTCCTGTTGTATGGTTGCCTGGTCCTATCACAAAAACWAAGTGTAACAAAGCAAGGATTAATCTCCAAAATACTGTGCTGTGAAATAACCCTTAACCAAAAGGGCAATGCTGTGCAATTCCATTCATATGAAGTTCTAAAGTAGGCAAACTGCTGTGGAGTGAAAACAAGTCACAGGATTGCCTCTGGTGTGTGGAGCAAAGCCTGGCTGGGAAAGAGGATGRAGGTGTCTGTGATGTTCTCTATCATAACAGGAGATGAGGGTGCACAAGTGAACACATTGTTAAAACTCATGAAATGCTAGACTTCAGATTAATCTATTCAMAGTTTGTGGATGATCCCTTGAAAACAAGAACTGTAAACTGACATTGAACTGTGGTCAGTGATGGACCAAGGTGAAATCCACTGATATTTGTACCTGACTTTAAAATGCATCCAAAAAAAAAAAATCAGATAGATGGATAGACACTTGATAAAGTGAATATAAGTTGTTTAAAAGTTGCATCTTAATCAGTAACAGATTTGCCCAGGCTTGTGGGCCAGGAGAGCGGTCCACCCCATAAAAATACATAAGGATGTTCACAGTACAATTCTATCAGSTTTTCTTTGTATTTATAAATCTTTAWAATAAAATTTGAGGACAAAAAGCTYKGGGCTTTGACTACCTGAGTCACGGGACCTGTTCTTGATTCMGTAGAATTTGTCTTCAGGTTTGCAAGAGATGGAGAAAGCCATTAGCATTTTATGAAACTTGATATATACAAATAAAATTGTATGGTTGTCAATGAATAGACCTAAAGTAAATATTGAAGTTCTCTRAATAAATTGTTTTAAAAACTGAATTTTAAGTGCATGTTTTAAGAAATTCTTAAAGTACAATGTGTTCCTTTTGCTTTCTTTTTTTTTTCTAATCTGATAAATATTCTGCAAAGCAACTGAGTAAACCAATGTGCAGATCCAAACATCCCATTTTAGACACTTAGGGMAGTGTACTAAGGCACTGAGGTCACCTAACATCTGTCCAGGTGCATGTTACAGTATATTAGTGTCACATTCTCAGTAATGAACATTCTTTAGTTTTAAACTTTTTTCCTGTATTTTATTATTGTATTATAACTAAATATATTAATGGGATTTGTTGTAGCATATACATGCATGCACACAGTATACAAATGTGAACTTTAAGAAAAGAAAGCTGAAAGCTCTCATCTATTCATTCAATATTCAAAACAATTGGCAGTTCAGGATTATTTTGGTGTTTTGAGAAAGCCTAATTCAAAAAGCTCAGGGGAATGTTTCAAGATCACACAATAAGGAAGTAATAAAACAGACTTTCTCCTGGACTAACTAAAAATCTCTTACTCTTTGCAGTTTTATTTAAAATCAGACTAATTAGTTCATGGYTATTATTTTCTAATAATTTTATTTTGTTTCAGTGGTCTCACATTTAAATTTTCTCATGGCTTTATATTTGATATAAAGATGGAGCCAAGATTATACTTTGTTTCAATTAGGAAACCTATACCAATCTGTGTGTGCTTATGTGTGTAGGTGTGAAACCTATACCAATCTTTGTGTGTGGGTGAGTGGTTGTGTACACRCGTGTACCCTCACTGGGGATCAAACCCAGGGCCTCAAGCATGCTAAATATGCTCCACCTCAGCCCCTAGAGCAGTTCATTCTGATCATCATCCTAGGTTTCACTCATATGCTGGCATCCTCTTTGGATATATAGGAAGAGAAAGCTGTAGAAGAAACAGCATTATAATGACTTTATACTTGAGTACATTAGCCCTGGGATAATATTCAAGAACAACTTGTCTTTGTTGAATCACTATATCAACTGTTCCCTTATATGCAAGGATAGTCCTGTTGGGCARTTGGACATTTAGATTTCTTTGCAAATTTTTTTTACCATTATTGAAATGGTAAATAATAAACAATGTTCAGCATGAAGCTTTTTCTATATTTAAGCGCTTCTTCAAGATAGGTTTTTTGAATTCATGATGTAGAATTTACACATATTTATTTGATTATACAAGTTGGCCAGTTGCTTCTTAAAGTGTTTTGAGTCAACATTTGCATCAYTAATATGTAATGTTGCTATTTGAYTCGAAGTATACAATCTTTTATGAATATAAAAGTAAGTCATCCTCATTGTACATGATGAAGGGCCATGAAAAGTTTTCACAGCTATGAAATTAGGTGCTCATTTAGCATTTTTAAAATAAATGAGTGAAAGAACAAGTACAGTCTTTTAAAAATTATTTTYATCTATAATATTTTATCTATAACATGATTTAAAATTAGTATTTTAAATTGCATATTTTCCTTTATTACTGACAAAAATTTATTCATACATTGTCTTCAAAAATAAAAAATTCTTAGGTTTGACTGAAAGAAATTTAGAAGCTGTTGTCCTTGACCATTAAAAAAAAAAAAAAAAAAAAAACCAGAACAAAAACAGCGTCTTTTGTTGTCATCCCTCTGTACACTGAAGAAGCTCTTCTGAAAACTGCTCTAACCCTAAGTTCTAGTACACTCTGCCCATCTGAATGACATGAAAAGCACAACTATTACTTATGGGGACCTGGATCACAGCTGATCATTTATAATGAAAGGTAGACACATATCTGTTGTTTAGGAGAGCAACTTTTGTTACAAGGTACGCCAGCTTCAAGGTCGCATGTTATTATCAAAAGCCAGTACTTACATCCATGATGACATCTTTAAGGGCTTAGTATTGGGAAATCAATCCAGCCCTGTCTGCTTGGGTAGAACAGTTATATGATCATTCCAGGTTGAGGTTACAGTCAAAGTAGCCCAGGTTCCTGGGTAAAAACAGATGAGCGACATTGGATTGAGCCAAAATTATGGTTGAAAGAACTATGCAGTCATCCTGYCTTTGCAGATAGGAGATAGGGACTGAGTTCCTTTGTGAAAGTTTTCACTACTATTGAATTTGAATGAGAGCATAGAAGGGAAAAATAGGGAAATCCCCACAGAGTTAAAAAGGATGTGAAGATTGCATCATAGCTAATGTTTGTATAAATGCCTTGGGTTGATTATGTGGTGTTTGAACATGTGCTCRTGGCTGTGGCTCCGTCATGCAAGGGCAGACACATGATGCTCTTAGAATAATTCCCATAGGGAGGGAACAAAGAAGCCTATAAAATAGAAGTATATATTTTAAAAGTTTCTGAAGAAAGTACCAGTGCAGTATTGACTTTGGCCTTGTTCTGTGGACTGCCACCTGGTTGTCCAGTCAGCGCCTTTACAGATGAAGAAGGACCTGGCCAGGTCTGATTATAATGTCCAAAGCCAGAGGCCATATTTCTTCACTGATGATAATTTTGGTTCAAACATAGTCCCTTATTAACAAGCTCCCTGCTTCAAAAGCCCCAAGCCTCTTTGTTTTGTTAGGCTTGCCGAAACACGCCTTTCAAAGAGCTAGGTTTGTAAATATCACTTTATTATAATCCTCTCCTTTGCTTTTAAATGTAAGCTTCCAAGTGCATTTCTACAGTCTAACTTTGGCCCCTAATTTAAAATGTTATCTTGGATTAAAATTTGACATCCTGAAACACTAAGGAGTGAAAAGTGAAAATTTGACATCCTGAAACACTAAGGAGTGAAAAGTGCCCAGGTGGTGTATTGGCCGTTGATGCAAAGCAATTGTGCATATGCTTGTGCTCTGTGGAATGACAGAGTGTACAAGCCAGAGGAACATGCTTGTCTATCCCCAAGTGTTCTTAAAAGTTGTGTCTTCTTTTTTGTTATTTTCTAACTATTCAATTATTTCTTTGATTTTTTTCTTTGCTGCATTTGTATAGAGGAATATTTTTAATCTCCACCCAGATGGGTTTTTCAATTATGTGCTTGTGATTGACTTTAGATCTACAGTGTGATGGTCAGAAAATATTGTCTAGTGTATGTTATGTTTGTGCACATTCTTTGCACAYACAATGTGCATGCTAACTTTTTGCAAACTAAAATGTTCATTTTACAATTATTAACTCAACCTTGTAATTATTAAATTCCTTATAAAATTTTCTTTTTGACTACCAGAACTCTTATAGAATTTTCTTGTCTTAAAGACTTTCATAGAAGTTTCATATATTCCCATTGAATTTTAAACATTTTTTACATATTTTAATATAATGAAATCCCATGCAGTATAGAGATGCATTTCCTCTTACATTGAATTACACCTTACATAAGCTTTAACATCTTTTATCACATTGGTCTTGAAATATCCTTTGATCAGAATTAATATTGTAAATCACTAAAGCTTAGAAAGTTAGTAAATATTTATATTAGTTTTGTTACTTCAAAGCATTTTATGACATATCTTTTTTTCCCTTTATTCCAGTTTGCCAAGGCACAAGTAACAAGCTCACCCAGTTGGGCACTTGTGAAGATCACTTTCTGAGCCTCCAGAGGATGTTCAATAACTGTGAAGTGGTCCTGGGGAACTTGGAAATTACCTACGTGCAAAAGAATTATGACCTTTCCTTCTTAAAGGTTTGTTTGGATGAATTTGTTATCCTACCCAAATATGATAGAAGTTCATATTAGCAGAAAACAGCTAGACAGAATTTAASTTGAAGCATGTTTACTTTTCATTTTGGTGGTTCCAAGTCCAAGGGAGCTATAGAGGAGATTTTTGTGAGAGTCTCCTTTACTATCTTGGATCAGGTTATAGCTAAAAAAGAATGTTGGAGAGAAACAGCTAGCCTGGAACTCCACTGTCACCACAGATCCTGACATTAATCGATAGCCATTGCTTCAGTCATGGTATGCTGGCATATCAGRTCTTTTGAAAAATAATGAAAATAGCTGGGTATGGAGGCGCTCACCTGTAATCCCAGTGGCYCRGGAGGCTGAGGCAGGAGGACTGCAAGTTCAAARCCAGCCTCAGCAACTTAGTGAGGTGCTAAGCAACTCARCAAGACCCTGTCTCTAAATAAAATATTTTTWWAAAAAGGGCTGGGGATGTGGCTCAGTGACTGAGCACGCCTGGGTTTAATCCTTAGTTACCCCCCTCCAAAAAAATAATAATTATAAAAATCCTGGCTTTATAGTATGTGCCTTTATCCTTGGCATAAATATTCTCACCATAGCCAATTTCAAGCTCCCAAGAGATTATAATCAGTTCTCACAACTCCTAAATATTTTACAGTAAGCTTAGAGTTTGATGGTACTTAAATTTTGATTGGATTTGTCTCGCCACCTTCTGGCTGGCCAGCCTGCCTGCCTACCTGCCTTCTTTCCTTCCTTTCTTCCTCTTTCCTTCTCACTCCACCCCACCTCTCGAGCTCTCCTTCCCTCCCTCTTTTACATTTTTTGGTAAGAAATTATATGAGAGCTGGGCACTTGGCGCACACCTGTAATCCCAGCAGCTTGGGAGGCTGAGACAGAAGGATTGAGAGTTCAAAGACAGCCGCAGGAAAAATCAAGGCTGCTGAGCAACTCAGTGAGACCCTGTCTCTAAATAAAAAAGGGGCAGGGATGTGACCCAGTGGTTGAGTGCATCTGAGTTCAATCCCTGGTACAGAAAAAAAAAATAAAGAAAGAAATTATGAGATAGATGCAAGGTAGTTTTTTAAAATTTTCATTTTCATCTGAAGTGTTAAGCTGCAGTACTCCTAATTAATGCACATTGCTCTTCATTACAGGCTTCAAAACCCAAAGTGGAGGGATTGGATCATTTCAAATCCTGTCACTTCTTTGCTCAGTTGTAATCATTTACATATCTTACATTTGTCAACCACTCATGTGTATTATGGTGCAGTTAGGTGCCCTGGAAYGTCTGGACCCATTTCAGACCTTGAATTCTTGAACTCTTTGAAAGAGAAATAAAATATTGTTGTTTTATCTCATTAGACCATCCAGGAAGTTGCTGGTTATGTACTCATCGCCCTCAACACAGTGGAGAGGATTCCTTTGGAAAACCTGCAGATCATCAGAGGAAATGTGCTCTATGAAAATACTTATGCCTTAGCAGTCCTGTCTAACTACGGTGCAAATAAAACTGGACTAAGGGAGCTGCCCATGAGAAACTTACAGGGTGAGAGGCCAGGGGGGTCATGGGTGTGTGTAAATGCAGAAGGTGATTCTGATTGGCACTCAATAACTGTCACATTTTTCAATTCCACCTTTTATTCACGAAATACACATGTATTGCATGCCAACTGTTTGCAGGATCCAGAATCTTAGTGGAAGTTACTAAGAAGAAGGTAGATAATGTAATAGAAAGGGAAGATTTCAGCCAGTTACCCATTCTTCCATGGATGTGGAAAAATATCCAGAGGGCTAGGAAGAAATGGCAAAGATTCTGGGTAAAAGAATCTTTTTTTATTCCTGCACTGGAATAGAGAGTTCATGCATGTGGGGAAGAAATAAACTGCCAGCCTTCTGAACTAGATCTCAGGTATACAAGAACATACAGTAATTCTCCCTCATACTCGGGGGGATATATTCCAAACCTCCAGTAAATGCTCATCATCTCTGTAGCACCAAAATGCCTATTTATACTGGTTTTGTCCTATATATACATACCTCTGGCAGTTTAATTTATAAATTGGGCATAGTAAGAGATTAACACCATTAATGAATAATAACAGAACAATTATGACAGAACACTATAATAAAGTTACATGAATATAATCTTGTTCTCTCTCTCTCTCTCTCTCTCTCTCTCTCTCTCTCTCTCAAGTATCTTATTGAATAAGCAATAATTTTGTTACCTAGTTTGCAATGGGATTTGAAACTTATGTAAAGCAAAATTGCTGATAAGGCGGTATTAATGTACATTAAAAACCCTACCCACATTTGATGCAGTCTCAAGAGTAGTGCTGTTATATGGAAAATCAGGTATAAGTTAAGGACAAGGAATGAAGATTTGATAGAAGTTTGAATTCTTGTAAGAAGGATACTTGGGAGGCTCCTGGGAGAGGAAACTGRAGATGGTAGAAGTGAGGGTAAATTGACTTTAAAAAATAAAAAAAGTGTTGATAAAAATAGACAACAATTGTGCCCTACCGCATGGCAGGCATGTTAAATCAGTAACTGCATTTACTGCCCACATCGCTCTTTCAAAGTGGGTGTTACATGCAGTCGTTTTAAAAATAGAGAAATGGCAGTAAATTAACTGTCCCAAGGCCCCATGCTAGTAAACAGAGAAGCCAGGGATGGCCCCAAATCACTGTCCCCATATTTCATCCTTCCTGTGTGGTTCTGATGGGGACATAGAGCTGAAAGGGAAAGGAGCAAGATAAGAAGAGGGGTGTGGAGCAGAGGAGGCCCTGTTTGGAATGACAGGAGCCTAGCAGGTGTGCAGAGCTGGAGTGTGAGCCACACATCCAAAGCCGAGAATGGAAACAGCTAGGCAGTCATCTCCTTGGTTCCTTCATTTACCATCCTATAAATTGCCTTAAAAATTCCCACCCACAGCTTTACTGCTCAGAGCACCCACGCTCATGTTACTGTGTTTATTCTAGCACTCGTGGTGTTTTACTTGCATTTTGTGAAGTGGCTGATTCGGTACATTCAGTGTGCCTCACTCCGCCTGTCTTGCCTCACATGTGTCATGAAACAAGGCCCCAGCGGGCGTGAGTCTGGTTCCTGGAGCCAGACTGTCTGGGCTCCAGCCCGGGCTCTATCTCTCACTAAGCAGAGACTCTGGAGCACGTTCTTTCAGCTCCCTGTGCCTCACCTTCAGAAATGTGGGCTGCATACTCACCACAATAGTTAGGACTGTTGAGAAAATTAAGTGACTCACTATAGGCAAAGCATCTGCTTTAGTGAGTCCTTGGTATTATTCTTACTTTTAAACCAAGGTTGGATTGTACAGATCCAGATTATTTAATATAGCATTATTAACAGTCAACCTAGAGGCTGCCACAGAATGAGCATTCATGAATGTGAGAAGTAAAAATAAATATCTGGCTGCCTCCTGACTGTCTTTATTTTCGAAGCTACAAGACAGTGGCACCTGATGTCCCCTTCACCTTTCTTACCCCTTATTTCTCCCTATMACTGACAATAGGTTTCTCTAAGGCCCTGTTTTAGACTCTGCTTTTTCTGCACTCTCAGCCCCTTCATCTTTTGTCCTGAGTGTCCCTGCAGCCTTGGCATCCCATCTTGTGTTTTCAAATCTGGCCTCAGTTTCATCCATCTGTGCGTGGCTCTCTCATGAGGCACGTGATGCACTTGGTGACCCTGTGGTCATCTCTGACTTCCATATCAGGCTCTGCAGTTTGGCCTTTCCTGATCTCCCAGGTTTCCTCCTGCAATTGCTTTATACTCTTCCCTCTGTTGAGAAAACTCTGTACCCGAAAAACTCTGTACTGGAGGCCTTCTGTGTCTTTGCTTTCAAGTCTTCTTTCTGCAAGAGCCTTTCTTTCTTATTCCTATAAAATAAGTGTGTAAATACATTCTGGAAATCTCATTCTTTCCAGCAGCCTCTGAGTTCTTCCCCAGGAGAATCCTTTCTTTTCAGCATTGGTACTTTGTGCACATGTTGTATCCATTCCCTGCCTGTGGAATGCTGAGCACTAAGATTTTTTTTTCCTCTACATTTAAATGATAGTCATTGGACTATTGTGAGGATTAATGAAGATAATATTTATACACCAACTAGCACAGTACCCAGCCTCATCATCATGGTCTCCCRGGGGCACAGGACCATTAAACAGAACCATTAATCTGTTTTATTGGTGTGTCAGTCCTCAAAAAGAAGCCAGCAGGCCTAATCCATCTTTGCAGACCCCACAGCACCTGTTCAGTGTTTAGTACACAAAAGTCATTTTCAGAAATATTTATGTTTAAATGTTATCAATGCAGCACTCTCTCTTTGTCCAGGCTTGAATTTTTTTCCATCCCAAACTTTTTCATGCCCTCTCATGACTTCCTTGAAACAATTGTACAGTACAGTCTTGTGCGTCTCTCATGTCTCTGGTGTCCACCTGTGGCTTTTTCATACAYACAGTTCTTACTCCATAACAGGCATACACCCTTTCCTCATGATATTCTCCAGAGCCACCTGGAAGCATGCTAGGTGAAGGTTGGCCGCCCTATCCTGCCATCCTGGTCTATAATGCCTATGACTGCCACAGGCTCTTCCTGCCCTATCTGCTCCTTCACCTCTTCAATCAGCCCTCATCCAGCTTGATCAGATCCCAGAACCACTACTGAATAGTTATCATTCATTCTGTGCCCACTGACTAACCATTCCCTCCCTGCTGTATTTCTAAACTTCTAATTATTATTCAAAGCCCAGGTCAGGAGAAATCCTAACTCCTCCATAGCACTATCATAAACTGAGTTTTTGTCTGCCCCCATCACGGCTTCCATAGGACTGACCATTTGCACACTGGCATCTTTCTAATGGAACATAAAGTGTAAAAAATGTGTGCATGCATCATGTGAATTTAAAGGAGATGGAAAGTTTGCTTACTGTGGTTCTGTTCATGTAGAAATCCTGCATGGTGCTGTGCGGTTCAGCAATAACCCTGTCCTCTGCAACATGGAAAGCATCCAGTGGCGGGATATCRTCGACAATGACTTTATGAGCAATATGTCAATGGACTTGCAGAACCGCCTGGGCAGCTGTAAGTGTTGCAAGATCTTTCTCTTGGCTTCCAGCTTCCATGGTGGGTAGAGCTGTTCAGTGCTGGAGTTGGGGAGAGAGACAGCATGTTTACTGTTAAGTCATATTATACTAAAACAAAAATAAGTAGTAAACAYATTATCTGCCTGCCAGGAGAGCTTTTATATAATACAGAGGTAAAAGTCTACTTTTCGTGTTGCTGGGTAGCACACCTGCTCACGCAGAGCCTGAAYCCTTGAATAGCCCTTGAGCAGAATTACTGGTTGCAGGAAGAACTGTAGTGGTAGCCTTTRGTCCTGGCTTGAGGCTTCTCCCATCCTGCCTCATGGAGATTGGCCAACCTCTTGTGTGCTACCGAATTTCTACTGAGTCCTACAGTGGTACCCCAGCCCTCTTGACCCCTTGACTTCTGCCCTCTGGATTATGACTGTAGGCACTCCCACATGGAACCACAGGCAAAATTGGGTACAGCCCACAGGGAGGAAGTTTGTAAATATTTCCCTGAATTCTTCTGACCTCATCCCTGCCCTGTTCATCAGTAAAGCAGCTTTGTGAGGGAGGGCCTGGCAGGAGACCAGGCCTAAGGTCACGGCTACACCCCTTGCCCATTGCCAAGGCCATGTGGTAAACTCTGAAAGACACATGCTTACACTTACCAAGCTCCCCTGAGTTTGATCCCCTTCCTGATCCCCCCTGGTGTTTCAACCCTTTAAAATAAGAAGGGATGACCACTTCCTGCATCTCTGTTTCCCTACAGCTGTTCAGTGGAAGCATATTTATTTTTGGTCTCAAAATGTAGCTGACACAACTCTTCAAAATCATCAGCTGGATGTTCTTTTCTGTTTCTATTTGCTTCATGWTTATTGATTGACTGGTTGTGATGGAATATTCATAATATAAAATTTATGACCTTAACCATTTTTAAATGTAAACTTCAATGACATTATGCATCCACGTCGTGATGTCRCCATTACCACCGTGTACTGGCAGAACTCCTTTTATCTTGCAAAGCTGAAATTATGTATCCATTAATCAATAACTCCTGTTTTCCCTTCCTCCCTAGGCCCCAGCCTAGGTAGCCCTCAATCTAATTTCTGTCTCAATGAGGTTGACTACTCTAGGTACAGGTGGAATCGCACAGTATTTGTCCTTTTGTGTATCTGACTTATTTCACTTAGTATAATGTCCTCAAGGTCCATACATGTTGTAGCATGTGTCAAAATTTTCTTCCTTTATATGAYCAAATGATATTCCATCATTAGTATATCACATTTATCTTTTAACTCCCTAACCAATGCTACTATGAAAATGAATATTGAGCTCTTCTATTTTATAAATGTATCATTCTTCCAGATACCCAACATATCACCCATTGTGTTTGCAATAAACTTAAAGTTTTTATTTTAGAATGCAAATTTTTGTATTATTCATGAGACCAAAGTTAGAATTTCCTCAGCTCTATRAGGAAATATACGGAGGTCAAATTGTTCAAATTTATAACAAACAAAAAAAACCTTACAAACAAAGGTTATGGATTTGCCATGAATAAGATCAGACAGCCTGCAAGGGTACACCTGTACTCACTGCCATCATGATTGTAAGGAAGATCCAACAWGAGGCATTGGGAAAAAAAAAAGATGGGTGGACAGGTTCATGAAATAATTAGAGTCAAATATGATGACACTGTAAAMTATAAATCAATATGGTATTGATTAAAGAATTGTTGTGTTACCTTTCCACTACTATAATAAAATACCTGAGATAATCAACTTAAAAGAGGAAAGGGTTTTTTTAATTCAGAGTTTTGAAGGTTGTAGTCCATGGTAAGTTGGTCTCAAAGTTTTTGGGCCTGYGCAAAGGCAGCACATCATGGCAGAAGTAGATGGCAGAGGAAGTCACTTACCTCATGGCAGCTGGAAGCAAAAGAGAAAGAAAGAGAAGGGGCAAGAATCCCAATATTCCTTTCAAGTACATTTTCCCCAACTCCCCCAGTGACCAAACTTCCCACTAGGCCCCACCTCTTAAACTTCCCACCATTTCCCAAGAGCACCAACCTGGGGATTAATCCTTTAAAATATGGGTTTGTGAAGGACATTTCAGGTCCAAACTATAGCAATAATCACATAAACCTAACTAAATCAAAAGTCCATAAGGAAATGGCAATTCAAGTAAAAATTGATTCAAGAAATTGTTCTGAAATGACTTAATGATTAGGGAGAAATATAGAACTGATAGAGCTGTAAAGGTTTTGTTTTGTTTTGTTTTGTTTTGTTTTGTTTTGTTTTGTTTTGTTTTGTTTTAAGGCAGACTAGGCATATTAGGTTAGTCATACTGGAAAGTACAAAATCACCTTACACCTATAGCTTCCTCATTACCTACTGCCAATCTCCTTGTGGAAAGTGGACTCCTCCCTTAACCATTGCTTCGAAGTCCACACATTCCTCCTGAAAACTTATCTCGTTTCATTTTTACAAAAAAAAAAAAAAAATCCTGTGAGATGAGTTGAGTATTYTATAGGAAAAACATCTGAAATTCAGAAAAGTCAAACTATGTACCCCAGCTTTGTGCTTTTGTTAATAAAGTTGGGAATTTGAGGTTAGAGTGAATAATTATCTTGAAAGGAAAATAAATTCAAACAAAAAAGAAAGAAAATAAATTCATCACCCATTCCATACCTTAAGATAAATTCCAAATATATTAAATATATATAATAAAGTATTAAACATGGATGTAAGTGGTAGACGGAAACATAAATATGAATATTTATAATAACACATTGAATAAAATCCAAAGTTAGATAACATAAAAGAAAATTTCCATGTAAAAACATGTAATGACAAATATTATATGACATCTGATTGCCATGAAGGAATCCTGACAGGATGACCCACCACTACCAAAATGGGCTAAGGACTTGAGCAGGTGCATGAGCATGCCCCCACACATATACACACATGTRCATATACTTTTACAAAATAGGTGGCCAAGAAATCAGGTAAAATTTTATTTCTCACTATAGTACAAAGGTCGAAAAAAATAAGGAAGTATAATTTTTGCTTTTGCTAAATATTTGAATTTCTTTCAATTTTAGATGCATGGGTCAATCAGGGTACAGGGGCACAGAAATTCTTATATTCTAGACATATAAATTCATAAGACAGTCAGGGAGAGAATTTTGGCAGGATGTTTCCAAAGCTTATTTAAAGCCTTCATATCAATGATGGTTGGCTATCCTGGCTGAGAATAAGAGAGGAAATAATTAGGGGAGTGAAAATCATAAGAGATGTAGAAAAGTATTTTACACAGGAATATTTCTTGAAACCTTATTTATAATAAATCTTGGAAACAAAATATATATCAAAAATAAGAGATTGATTGGATAAGTTATGATTCAGCCATGCTTCCAAAATCATGCTAGGTWGAAGGATATTTAAAGGCATGAAAAAGTTGTCATAACACTTTATTAGTGTTTTTTTAAGATAACAAAGCAATGCATAGTGTGATTTTGATTCTTATATAGATACATATTTAAATGTCCTTATTGATTGCCTCTTAATGATTCTTATTTCTTCTTTCTTGCTTTTTTACTATACACATTTCATATAGTGGGAATGCATCTAATTTTTGTCACAGAGAGTTAATAATACAATTATAAACAGACCTTGAATTCATTGGCTGGCAAATGTTTCTCTGTTACCTGAAAGATCATTTTTATTTTAAATATATTTCTTTTATAAACCTATTACAGGTTATAATCAAAATTGGTAGATGTCGATGTGTAGGGTGAAAAGTAACGGTAACATCATTTCACTGTACAGACAGAGCTGCTTGTAACACACTTCTTTTGCTTTTGCTTTTTCTTCTCTTTGTTTCTCTGTTTCCTTCTCTCTGTCTTTGTCTTCACAACATATCACACACACCATCCATGTAGTGCTTGGCCTTAACATCTTTCATGACTCCAGGGAGTGGGCTCCAGCATTGCATTAATTTCTGTCACTCCTGGTGGCAATGGTAGAAATTGTCACTTGTTTTAGATGGGTCTCCTGGTTCACTACACTTGACAAATTGTCACCTCTTCCATTTGCAACCTAAATTCTTACAGCAGCTAAAATCTTCCTGAGAATAGGAGACATTGTAACACATATTACCTCCTTTGGATTATGATATGTTTATACTAAAAGATATCTGCATGGGGCTGGGGTTGTAACTAAGAGTGTAGTTCTCATCTAACATTCATGAAACTCCAGRGTTGTTTGGTTGGTTGGCTGATTTGGGTACTAGGAATTTAGTACAGGGGTGTTTTACCACTGAGTTACATCCCCATTCCTTTTGACTTTTTATTTTGAGTCAGTATCTTTCTATGKTGCTGAGGGTCTTGGTAAGTTGCTGAGGCTGGCCTCGAATTTGTGATCCTCCTGCTCAACCTTCCAAGTCACTAAGATTACAGGCATGTAATACCTGTAATCCCAATGAGGCCCCAGTTTTGATCTCCAGCAACACACACACAGAGATGTTCCCATGATTGTTCCCTTTTTAACAAATTTCGTGATCAACCTGTTTTTTCTCTGTTGATTTCACAATCTGGGCTTAAGATTTCTCAGTGCTGATAAAAAAAATAAAACATGGTTAAAGAGATTAAAAGTCTTTGTACATATAATTTGTAATTGAACAATTATAAAAACTGATCAATTGCCAAGATTTCTGGATAGTAGCTTGTAAACTATTAGCTTAGATTTGAGATAATTAACATAGTAGTATACACTATTGACATGTTTATACTCAAATACCCAAAGATGACTGATCCACTCATTCACTCATGACCACACATGGCAAAGATATGGTAAGTACATACTAAGGACTCCACCAGATTAGACACCTCGATTCTGTTGTAAAAGATGCCAGAAAATCCCCCAAGCCTGTGCAAATTGGAACTCTGGACCTTAGTTTCATTTAAATTATCCTTTATGTGCTTGTGAAAAATTAGTAATTGCTCTCTGCCTCAGTTTCCATAGCTGAAATGTAAATAAAATCAGTATATGATTCATTTTTTAATTTTTTATGGGGATCTTTTAAATCATCCTATAAACAAAGTAGCCAAAGAATAAGAAGTTTTAAAGCTATTCCTTATTTCTAGAACATTACCCAGGGCCATGGGAAAGGTATCATCAGTTTCTTATCATTTGTTCACTTTTGCTGAGATATGAATTTATAATGTTTATGTTTCAGGCCAAAAGTGTGATCCAAGCTGTCCCAATGGAAGTTGCTGGGGGGCAGGAGAGGAAAACTGCCAGAAATGTAAGTTAGTCAGTGAAGAAGCTCAATGTGTGACCACCCCTCCCCACCCATKAGCATAGCCCCAAGTCAAGATGTGACCACCCTCCCAACCTGGATTCAGGGGATTGGATTTGTTTTCCCATCAGAGACTACAGGCAACTTCCTGACCACAGGGCCAGATGTTGTCAGTTTCATGAATGACAGTCTTGCAAATCTCACTGTATGTGCCTACTCCAGTGTGGGCTATTTKGGGCCGCTTCAGCCTTTCATAAAAGCCAGCCACCTATGTCCTATGTCCTAGCTTCATGAAAGCCAGCCACCTATGTCCTAGTCATTTCTTCTGGATAACATGGTTTTTTGCACATTTTCCTGAGAATTGGAGACTCATCCTCTCCCTCTGCCTTCGTTATTCCTAGGTATCCTGCTACCCAGAAGTTTGAACAATGTTTCTTAAGAGAGTTTTTGTGTGAATCCTACTTCAGGAAAGAATTTAATTTACCTGATCCTAGTTGTGGGCTCAAACACTCAGTGTGGCCAAGGACTCTGGGGACTTGTCAGGTTCAAAATTGACCATCTGTCCCTAAATTTCATTGTGACATGGTTGCTGCCTCCCCTGAAATACTTCTTCCTGCCAAGTGCTTATGTTTTGTGTGCAGACACAAAGACTCAGTMTGACTAATGTCTAATTATTAAGAAGGTCTTGATTGATCAGTTCTTCTAAGCAATTAAAAATAAATAAATAAATAAATAAAAGGTACCKTGAGGCAGGTCACGACAGGATTGAGTTTGGCTGAATGAGAATGCCTGAGATCTTGAATCACAGAATCACTACATCACTGTATTMATCGTTTCTCCCCACTTTTTCCATTACCTTTGCAAGTGCTCTTTAATTTTCCCTGGGATATAATGTTTGCCTTCCCCTTGACTCAGCTCACAGGTGATCTTTATTCTTTTTCAGTGACCAAGATCATCTGTGCCCAGCAGTGTTCAGGACGMTGTCGTGGCAAGTCCCCCAGTGACTGCTGTCACAACCAGTGTGCAGCTGGCTGCACGGGGCCCCGGGAGAGCGACTGCCTGGTAAGACCAAGCTTCCCTTCTGCTTCTTTTGGAATTGGTCCACAACTGCTGTACACTGCCACCCCCAACACCGACCATGACAGGGGCTTCCGTGGGAGACGTTTTTGTGGATTAATATTGGCAGTCACAGATATAGCATAGTAGCATAATACCCTTGGCATTCACCACCAGGAACTAGGCACAGAATAAGCACTAAATACTCTATATGTGTTATTGCCAATAGCAATAGCATCACACCTTGATACTGTGAGATCCCTATGCTAGTCAGCTTTCTGTTACTATGAACAAAGTACCTGACAAGAGCAATTTAGAGAAGAATAAGTTTGTTCTGGACTCACAGTTTCAGTCCATGGCTGGCCAACTACATTGCTCTGGGACAAGGTGAGGCAGAACATCACTGTGGAAGGGTAGTAGAAGAAAACTGCTCATCTCATGGTATCCAGGAAGTAGAGAGAGAGAAGAAGGAGCCAGGGGGACAAGATATAAAGTGACTCACCTCCTCTAGCCATGTCCCACCTGCCTACAGTGATCACCCAGTACAGCAGTTCTTTAAAATTATTAATCCATCAAATGGATTAATCCATTTTTTAGATTAAAAATCTCATAATTGCATCATTTAACCTCCTTTTGTTCCCACAAGAGCTTTTGGGGGACATCTCTTATCCAAACCAAAATAATCCCCTAAGAGATCCATCCAGAGCTTTCCTGATCTTCAATAGTATGATATTTGGGTCTCCTGTCCCTCATCCTTCTTTTCTTTCTACCATAGTTCCAATGCCTCTTATTCTCCCACCTACCCCTAAGGGGTCTTGAAGCATTTCACTCTTGTCTCTGCTACTACAGAAAACTCACAAAAACCTTGTCACCCATGTACACTGTGGCATTTCATTTCAGAAGTCCTAGACACATCTGGCCTGGAGGTTACAATTCCCAGGGTCAATACTGAGTGTAGTGAGATCTGCTCAGACTCCAGAAAGAGGCCCACCCTAAGCTGGTCTCTCAGTGGTTTCAACAAAGGGAAGATTCTGAAATTCCAGAGACTGGGCCCAACCCTAGGGATTTCGAACTGGTTGGTCTGGAGTGGGCCAATTCCAATGGAAGATTTCAGGGAAAATAACCCTTGTTACATAGCACCTTTCCTAGTGAGTGAAGTCTTTCTTCAGTTTATCCATAAATTTTAAAATGCATCCTTTATAAAGGAAATACAATGTACATTGAATTTCAAATCAATGGTTGTCACTAAAATGTCTTAACTCTTGTCATTTGAAAATTAATAGAGATATATTTTCTCTGATCATAATTTGTAAACTKTGATAGCCAGGACAATATGTTTAAGAAAAATCATATTCTTGAGAGAAAGTTCTGACTCTACCAAAGGTCATTGCTAGATTTTTCTACTCTGATTGAACACCTGAGCACTGAGCTTTCTAAGCCTTTCTAGCCTGAAAACAAAACACCTTGCTTCCTTGATTTGGGGCACTGAGTATCCTTGCCCAGCTCCACCAGGCCTRTGTCCCTCCTGTGCAGGTCTGCCGCAAGTTCCGAGATGAAGCAACATGCAAGGACACCTGTCCACCACTCATGCTGTACAACCCCACCACATACCAGATGGATGTCAACCCCGAGGGAAAGTATAGCTTCGGTGCCACCTGTGTGAAGAAGTGTCCCCGTGAGTGCCTCACTTGGGAAAGCCTTTGAGTTGTCAGGCATCCATATCCTCTTTTGTCTTCTACAGGAATCCTTGAGCTCCGTGGGGGGTGCAGGTACTGCCTTGGGTGCTCTTTGGGGCTCTGTGTTTGCCTTGTTCTCAGGCARGTGAACACATGCTGATCAGGTGTGGAGGTGAGGCCCAGCTGAGTGCCAAGGAGCACTAAGGCTTCAGGCTCTGCTTATGGGGCAACGTCGTCTATGTTGGTTCTAGTGTCTATGGTGGCTCAACTGCATAACAGGAAACACACCTGTCACTCTGCCCCCCAAAAATAAAGGCCAGCTGCAGTAGTCCAGAGTGTTCGGTTGTCTGATTAGCACAAAACCACAGTTCTTTGGGTCATTTCATTGTTTTGTTCTTATACCAACCAGGTATTTAACAGACCTAATTACAGAGAAGAGCAGATTTGCAGCCTTCTTAAGTGGTTCAAATTATGGTGAAATCATTCCTCTTGGAAGTATTGCAGAAGCTTTATTTTTCTGTTTTATTTCATCTGTTTGGGTTTGGGTTTTGCTTATTTATATTTGCATCCCACTGGTGGCTGCAGGGAAAGAGTGACCTGAATTATTTCTGAACAGAGAAAGTGAAACAATGTTTAATTAAAGGGCTCTTGATTTCTAGAAAGGAGATTAGGGGACAATGTAAAAGAACAACTATGAAAGGCAGAAATTACCCTGCTGGATTCGTGTGCATGAAAAATTTCAAACTCTGTACAGAAAAAAAAAATACTATGCAAATAGAATAATAGACCATTGTAATGTAAATTRCAAGGTAAGATAAAGAAAACGTTGCCACAGTTATGACATACATAGGATCTAACTTTTAATAGAGCTTTAAAAAATCCATGAAAACATTCAGGGCCTAAGATAACAAGAGCAACAGTTTACAGAAAAATTACCAATGTCCAGTAAATATTTTTTTGTGTGKATCTACTGTAGGAATATAGASAGTTTCTTTAAAAATAGTGGTGACATTAATATTAAAGAAATAAATTATGTGTGTGAAGGGAAATGGAGGAAAGGACTGAGGTATCTCTCTGGATGCAAAACTTACTTATCTAGCCTTTGTACCTCCTTGCAAAGAGACACATAGCTACATCAGAAAGATGGATGGGCAAAGCTGCAGGAATTAAATGCAGCCTCAAATGCAGCCAGTTTTGTGGGAGAATGGTTGTGTTTAGGTTTACAGATTTAATAAAGATTCAAGATTTAAGTCTAAGTCCTGAAGATGAAGCCCATGGAGAACTATGGAGAAAACTGAGCTTCAAATCAATGCTTTTACCTGATGAGGGTACAGTTTCCTCCCTTACACAGTTGTTTTCCGGCTATGATGAAGCATCTGTATTTCTCCATATTGCAGTCTCGAAAGCTATTGAACTCAGTTCTCTTTCTGTTTGTAGCCTTTCCTTCTCTGTGCCCAAATAAATTCAACTCAAGGATCAGGGACCTTGTACCACAGGACGTAGGATGTCCCTGGGAGGCCCAGGACACCTGCTGCTGCCTTCACCACCTTCCTTTCTTTGTCTCTTCCTCAGGGAACTATGTGGTGACAGATCATGGCTCCTGTGTCCGCGCCTGTGGTCCTGATAGCTATGAGATGGAGGAGGATGGTGTCCGCAAGTGTAAGAAGTGTGAAGGGCCGTGTCGCAAAGGTAGGAGCCTGCAGGGTGTGTGTGGTCAGGGCTTCCTCCCTTACCCTGAGGCTGGCTGCTGTTGTCCACCTCCATGGGGACACATCCTACTCTTCTAATAATAATAAAATATATTGTTTCTTTAAAGTAGAAGATAAATCTGGGAMACCAGGTTAGGGTAACAGTAGGCATGGAAAATTTGGTCAGGGGAGTTCTCTGGTTAGAGTTGTGCTCAGAGGCAGCACCTGTGGTCCAGGTGTGCTATGGTGGGCAAAAWAGGGGAGGGGCAAGAGTCTTTGGGAGCCTTTGGACTATACTACTCAAGTGGGAAAGTATGAGGAGGAGGATTCAAGCCCAGTGAGGGCTGTAATGAGACCAGCATCTCCTTTCACCATTGCAACTACCAAGCCTGCATGTCCTGATACCTAGCAGGCTTCCCCTCAGTGTTTGTCAAATGAATGAACAACGATAGCATGGTGGGAGGGGTTCTCAGGGCAGGAATTCTCTTTCTGCTACCCTCTGCCTGTGAAACTCCAGTTCATTTTAATTCATCAAATGTGAATATAACAAACATCTCTCTTWACAGTTTGTAACGGAATAGGAATTGGTGAATTTAAAGACACACTTTCCATAAATGCTACAAACATAAAGCACTTCAAAAACTGCACTTCTATCAGTGGAGATCTTCATATCCTGCCAGTAGCATTTAAGGGGTAAGTAATAGTTAGGTTACTTGTGCAGAGAAAAGAAAATCTGCTGCTTTAACTGGTAAAGACAGATAATTAATAATCATTCTGCCATTTCTTTCAGGGACTCCTTCACACGTACTCCTCCTCTAGATCCAAAGGAACTGGATATTCTAAAAACCGTAAAGGAAATAACAGGTTTGTGCTGCCATATCCTAGGAGCACAAATCGGACATCAGAGTTTTATAGGGAACTTTGGTCCATCTCTTTTTCCCCTGGCATAAAAACATTTCTTCTGAGATTCACCACCATCAATTGCTTCTTTGATACTTTTCAAAAATTCAGTTTCCCCTACATATGAATATTTGAAGCCATGGCCAGGGTCACTCACAACTTGGTGTGAACATGTTTAATCCCTTGTTCTCCCCAGGTCAGACCAGCCCCCATGATGGGCCAGGAACCGCACTGGGTGGAGGGAAGGGAAGAGTGAGAAGATGAGGGACAGTAGGAGCTCTCAAGCCCTATAAACTAGACTTTAAATCCCTGCTTGGCCTATGGCATACCTTGGGTCCATGATTGATATCTGAGCTCCACTTTCTTCATCTCTACAAAGGGGGGAATAGTTAGACCCAAAGCAAGGTTTGTTTTAGAATTGGAGCTAAATAATAAAAATATTTGAAATTTGTTGTCTGTAAGGCAGGAGTCCACTTGGGGGGATCAGATATAAAGCCCTCAAAGGGCCATCAGAGCTATTTCACAGCCTAGTAGGTGGGAGTGGGGCAGTAGAAGAGATGTAGCAGGGGAGTGGAATTTTGCCTTGACTTTCATCCATTCATATGTTCATGTCCTCAGTGAAGAGGATAAGAGCACAATCCAAACAAATATTCACTATCCTGGGAGAGTCTAATGAGAATCCTACAATAATGGTTCCTACAAAAAGAAATAGGAAAAAAAAAAAAAAAAAGAAAGGAAGGAAGAAAAGAAAATCCAAATGGTACATGTCTGAGTCTTTATTCTGCCTTCTAGGGTTTTTGCTGATTCAAGCTTGGCCTGAAAACAAGACTGACCTCCATGCTTTTGAGAACCTAGAAATCATACGTGGCAGGACAAAGCAACAGTAAGTGGACYACAGCCAAAGCCTGATAGATTAACTCTCTGTTTATTTAGTTTGAAATTAGACTTACACGAGAGTTTCCACACTAGTACAAAGACTTCCCATATATCCTTCACCCAACTTTCCTTAAGGTTAACAAAGTATTGCATGAGCAGGTACAAGGATCAAAATGAAAAAGTTGACATTGTTAACTAAACTACAGGCTTTATTRGGCTCACCAAGTTTTCCATGCATCTCTCTCACTGTCCACTCCAACTTCTCACACTGCATTTACCCCTTGTATCTTCTTATTCTCCTCCAATCTGTGTTAATTCCTGTGTCTTACCATGTCTTTTATGTCCTTGACACTCTGAAAAGTACAGGCTAGGTGTTTTGTGGAATGTCTCAGTTTGTGTTTGCTGAAGTTTTGTCGTGATGCATTTGAAGTTATGCATATTCAATCAGGGGAATTGGAGAGACTTTTTAACATTAAATGTTTTTTTCATGATTTCTACTCTTTCTTTTTATTTTATTTGTGCTAATTAATAACACATGACAGAAGAATGCATTTTATGATTTCTACTTTATCAACTTCAACAATGAAATCCACACACTCAGAAACACACACATACACCCACACACACAAAGCGTCTTTAACATAGTAAGAGAAATCATAACTTTTGTGGTGAGGAAGAGGGATTTGGAAATCTTTAGCTTACACCTGCCTTGGAAACTGTTTGTTGAGAAGAGTTTTCCATAATTGAATATTAAAAGGACTACATAATCCTGTGCAATATTAAAGAAAATCAGAATACTGGATACATAAAATATATATTACTTTCCATAAAGTCTGTTTGATAAACACTTCTGATACTAGTAAACATACAACTAAACTGGGTGTGGTGGCTCATGCCTATAATCCCAATGACGTGGGAAGCTTAGGCAGGAGGATTACAAGTTCAAGGYCAACATGGCAACTTAACAAGACTCTGTCTCATATTTTTAAAAAATAATAAAAAGGGCTGGGGATGTGGCTCAGTGCTAGAGCACYCTTGGGTTGCATTACTARTACCACAATAATAAATACATAAATAAAAACAAATAAATATGCAGCTACTATTGCTTCCCTAAAAGACCCCTTTGCTCTGAATTCTCAGGAATGCTTTCTTTGCCATTTATACAAAGCTGGGATATTTAAAGCACTGGTTTAGATGACTTCTACGTTCCACTTCGGGTATTTTTAGGGATTTAAGCAAGATGAAGGCTATGTATTTTTTCACATTTAGGGAGAAATCCGGTAATATTCAGTCCTCACTGCCATAAGGTTATCATAAGTTCCAGAATGTGACTCCCCAAAACTCCAGACCTGTCCTTCAGGGAAGACCCCAGCCTGGCCCCTGGTGTCTTGGCAGGGAGAGAGTTCCTAGCAGTAGTGGATATAGGTATCTTGCACAGGGCCTTCTGCTTCTCAGGAGCCAGGTTGTAGGAAAAGAGGGAAAGGAAAGGAGTAAAGATGGGGAGGAGAAGAACAGGGAGAGAAGGGCTGCCAAATTATCCTTTAAACCTTTGCCACTTAACACTTTAATTAGAAGACTCTTCACTCAAGTCTTGTCTCAACTGGTCTGTTCCACATCCTCTTGTCCAGTGAGCTTCCTACAAGTGCAGATTTTTCCCCTGTGGTTTCTAGTCAGTCACAAAGAGCAATCCAAGTTTCCCCTGAACAGTGCAAGATCTTCTGTGCTCCAGCCTCATCCACCCTCCACACCATCTCCCAGTCCCCCCACCACCTGCACATTTATGTGCAGCAAACCACGACTCTCAGCATCCATCCCAGGTGGTTTGGAACTTCTTCCTTTTATCTCAGTCTCTTTCATCCAGTCAATTGATGCACACATATTGAATACCTTGTGGAGTCCTAGCGTAAAGGAAAATATCAGGGGTCCTGCTCTTCAGGTGACAGCCTCAGGCGTCATGGCTGCAGGGAAGTCCCCCCTTTTCAGGACTATTTAAATATTACATGCTTCTGTAATGGCTCTTACTTTTGCTGCATTCATCTCTCTAGGCTCAAATACTCTGCTTATATGGTTATTTCACCTCTAGATAAAGGGTTCCTTGAGAGTAGGAAACATGTGTTTAATCTACATAGAATTTAGCACATAGTACCACAAATATTTGTTCAGTAAGTATATGACTGGGTAACTGGTAGGTGGTTAGATTGATGGATGGACAGACAAACCTATAGTCTTTAAAATACCTTTGGGGTTTTCAGAGGTGAAATGTGTTTCCAATTTCTAAGAAAAATTAAAGTGTAGTAAATAAAATGTCATGAAGGTATTTATTCAGCCCCCCTTCAAGTCTGTTTCTGAGGTTGAAGATAAGGAGTGAGGAACTGGCTTGTCCTTAGAAAAGCTCAAAAAAACTTCTTGCAGACAAGTAGTGTGGCACACATCTGTAATCATAGCATCTCAGGAGGTCGAGGCAGGAGGATCACAAGTTCATACCCAGCCTTAGCAACTTAGCAAGTCCCTAAGCAACTTTAGAAAGACCCTGTCTCAAAATAAAACATTTTTAAAAAAAAAAGGCTGGGGATGTGGCTCATTGGTAAAGTATCCCTGGGTTTAAACCCTGGTACCAAAAAAAAACAAAAAACAAAAAACTACTTACCCACTTGCAGTTTCCAAAACTATAATGTATACCTTTCACAACATAGCTTACAAACATTGGAAGATGGTAGTAAATCTAAGTGGTCCTGAACAACAAAATAAAGTTTTTAGTGATATGTTGTTTGCATCATTGTTCACAAGGTTATTTTTCTTTTCCCCAATTTAGTGGTCAGTTTTCTCTAGCAGTTGTTGGCCTGAACATAACATCCTTGGGATTACGCTCCCTGAAGGAGATAAGTGATGGAGATGTGATAATTTCAGGAAACCGAAATTTGTGCTATGCAAACACAATAAACTGGAAAAAACTATTTGGGACTTCCGGTCAGAAAACCAAAATTATAAACAACAGAGATGAAAAAGACTGCAGTAAGTGATCAGTTTTCGTTTCAATTGTGCAAATGATTCCTGTGGGTCAGTTTTGTTTAGGTGGAATATTGAAGGACCATTCCCAAATATTTGTATTACTTTTTTTATTCCTTAAGAAGCAAATGAGGGCTGGGGATGTGGCTCAAGTGGTAGCGCGCTCACCTGGCATGCCTGCGGCCCAGGTTTGATCCTCAGCACCACATACAAACAAAGATGTTGTGTCCACCGATAACTAAAAAATAAAATATTAAAATTCTCTCTCTCTCTCTCTCTCTCTCTCTCTCTCTCTCTCTCTCCCTCCCTCCCTCCCCCTCTCTCTCTTTAAAAAAAAAAATAAGTAAATGAAACGTGTATATTCCAAATTGTGAAGATACAATGTGAAATTCACCAGAATTACCTCGAGATCATTCTCATTTCATAGAATAATTTGCTCTGAAGTTTAGGCTACCGATTATTTGCAATTTAAAAAAACTAAATTTAGCCAGGTGCAGTGCACATGCCTGTAATCCCAGCAGCTCGAGAGGCTGAGACGGGGTGATCATGAGTTCAAAGTCAGACTCAGCAACAGCAAGGCACTTAACAACTCAGTGAGACCCTGTCTCTAAATAAAATACAGAATAGGGCTGGGATGTGGTTCTGTGGTTGAGTGCCCCTGAGTTCAATCCCTAGTACCAAAAAAACAAAACAAAACAAAACAAAAAACCATTAAATTCAGTATTACTTATGTTATACTTTAGCTATAGGTTATTCCTGCTCATTTCAGCCTCTGATGACTATACCTAGGCACGATAGCACACATGGACAGACATGCACCTGGGCATACACATACACACAGGAATGGGATCATATTTCACAGCAACATTTTCTATTCTGATTTTATCTTCATACGTTAGCTTTTAAGCTGGCAAATGCACCCAGCCTTGTGGTGAGACCTGGCCTTATGCAGAAGCACATCTAAGTTCCAGTGCTGGTCTGACCCTCCTGGGCTTTGAGAACTTGGCCAATTAGTTTTGTAGATTTTTTACTTTCTTACCTATAAAATGGTGATTCCTATTTCACAGTTGCTCATGAAAGAATTAAATGAAAATTCTGCATTATAAAGTTCTCTGGGCATGGTACCTAGCACACAGCATTGACTATAACYTTCCCTGTTATTTCTGTCAGCTGTGAGAACAAACTACCACCAAGTCTGGTCCAGGGTACTCTTGACACCCAGCAGGGAGGAGGGAGCCTGCAGATGGCCTTGGAGCCTACTCCTTTCAATAGCCCCCAGCTGGTTTGTGTAGAGCACATAGCCTCCTTCCAAAGGTGTTGTGTCTTCTTCTCCCTGTGGTCCTTATTCTGTAACTGACTCCTGTGACTCACTGTGTCTCCTCAGAGAACAGAGGCCACTTCTGTAATCCCTTGTGCTCATCTGAGGGCTGCTGGGGCCCTGAGCCCAGAGACTGTGTCTCCTGCCAAAATGTCAGCCGAGGCAAGGAGTGTGTGGAGAAGTGCAACGTTCTGGAGGGGTGAGATGCTGTTCTTTCATTACCCTTGTCTTGATCAAAATCAGTCACAGGGTCGTTGTTATAGATTTTGATTATTCAGATTGATTCTCTTCCTTTCTTTCTTTTTCCTTTGTTGTTACCGTTGTTATCTTTTTAGTTTGTTTGCTTGTGTGTTAATTTTTTGCTAAACTGTTCATCATGATATGAAGTAAGCAATGTTTTTTTCATTATTAACTAATACAACCCAATACTTTATGGAATTTTTTTTCCTGGAAATAGTGTATATTTTTCTAAGTTGTGCAATGTTCCTAAGGCAAATAGAACAGTCACAGGTTGTTCCAGTGGCCAAGAGAATGTCATTGGTCCCTTCTTTACCATTCACTTTTTCTGGTGTGTCAAAATCCATTAATGCAAATCATATTTTCTGGTTGATTTTTGTTTTATGTGTCCCCATATGCAGTGAACATTGAACCATAGAAATAGCTTTAAATATAACTAGAGATAAGGAAAGAAATAATCTGTATGATGTTTGTTTAATTTCATTGTAATCAATACAAAGATACTCTGAGAATCTCAAGATTGATGTAAAACTTTGAATGACTAGAAGTAATGACTAAAACAAATTAATTGGAAAGTCAAATTGAAGGATAGATAAGCAGATAAATTAAAAAAAAACTTAAAGAGAAAGGGAGAGTTTGATAGAGAAGAGCCATAGGAATTAYAGGTGGGATGTAGGAAATTTTCCTTCCTGTTTCACATTAGGCATAGATCACGGCTTGGATCCCAAAATACTCAGAGGCAGGATGGGAAGACCGAATTCAATGCAGAAGAGTCCTTTAGCTGCTAGACTCAGAATGATTTGCATTACTGAGAGTGAGTGCTCTTTCAAATAAGAAACTGATGCAGTCCTTATTGCCACAAATAGACTCTTATGTGAGTTTTCAGTTTTCAAAGTCTCTTTTAGGGGACAAGGTAATTAAAATGATCATATCCCGTGACCCATGCCTTTCCACTAGTGTGGAGAATCCTGGTGTTCAGCAGTCCCTTTGGAAGTCTGTCTCCCTAGCAGGGGATTTGACCCAGAGATGAAGCACAGAAAAACACCACTGTGTCATAGTTTAAATGATGCCATTTGTCTAAAGGAGGTCCCATGACATATTTTTTTGGGTGTAAACAGTCCTTGTTTTCTGCTTGGAGTGAAGATTTAGAGTTAATTCCAGGGAGATTTCAGTCTTCATAACAGCTCTCACACTATTTGTCTTTTCATTCGAGCATCAGTTTCTTGCTATTATCTACACATCTTGAGGAAGGTTGAAAATAGTACAAGCAAAATTTTTCATACCTGTTTTCAACACTTACCATTTTGAGTAATAGCCATTCAGCTAGTTGGCTACCCCTCCTTCCTTTACCTACAGTCACCTTTTCTATCCATATTAATTGAAATATTCATAGAGCTGTTATTAGAGGGAGGAGCCTCATTAAAACACTTTTTCTCTTCATTTTTGGCTTGCTAACCTAATATATCAGAAACTAGGTTTTTGGAAAAACCCAGGGAAGATATCTTTAGTGTAAATGAAGCTTATATGTTTATTTTTCTGGGAGAAGATGACCAAAGATTCAGTTGATACAGTCATTGTAATATATATAGTATAGTCTCTGAGTCCCAACTCTTTGACCTTTATCTAAAACTTTTCTGCCTCACTGGGAGCAGTGATTTGTGTCACCTGTTAGGGTCCTATCCACCTGCATCTGGAGGAGCCTCTCAGGGGATGGCATCCTCAGTTTTCTTTTTCCTTCTCTCAGGGAGCCCAGGGAGTTTGTGGAGAATTCCGAGTGCATCCAGTGCCATCCGGAATGTCTGCCCCAGACCATGAACATAACCTGCACAGGCCGGGTAAGGAGTCCCTCTGATGTTATGCACTCTCCCTTCACAGGAGCAGAAACAGTGGTAACTTGCATTTCCTTAGCTGGAAGGATAACCATCCAAGCCCAGCTCCCAGAGAAGAAATGGGCAAGATCTGTAAGCTGTGACAGTGTGGCTGTGTGTGAGTGACGTATCACACCTGTGACAACCTTTACCTTTCCACTCCAGCACCCCAAGCACATTTAACCATGACCATTTCTTCACCAGAGCACAGGAAAGCTGTGGTAGACTTTGGTTCATTCTCAGCCACTTTTCACTTTTTTTTTTTTTTTTTTTTGCTACTGGGGACCAAACCCATGGGTGCTCTACCACTGAGCTGCACACCCTGCCCTTTTTAAAAAGCCTCTCAGTGGATGGCATCATCAGTTTCCTTGTTCTTTCTCTCAGGGAGCCCAGGCAGTTTGTGGAGAATTATAAGTGCATCCAGTGCCTTCCGGAATGTCTGCCCCAGTCCATGAACATAATTTGCACATAACCTTTTTATTTATTTGTTTTAACTTGGGGATAGCTTCTCACCAAGTTGCCCAGGCTGACTACAAACTTATGATCCTCCTGCCTCCGCCCCCACAAGTCCCTGGGATTACAGCTGTACACCACCATGCCAGGCTACTTTTCACCATTTCTGACATGTGCAATTCATCTCTTTCTCATTTTAATCAAATATCATAAAATTCTTTTTTTAACATTCAGTTTAACTAAGTTGAAGAACCTTAAAAGAAACTTATAGCAAAACTTTTTAAAACCTGCAGTTTTAAATCTACATCTTCAATAATAATCTTGTTAAGCTCACAAATGAGACGTCAGGTCCCTCTAATACCAAATATCCCAATGTTGATAATTCTTGATTATAAATATATATATATATATTTGGATTTGAGCTTCAGTAGTCACATCTAAATTTAGTAAATGAAAATATTTTTTCAGAAGTTGTCGCTGCATCAGGCAGAGGTTAATAAGACTGTGTTAGATAGAGATCTAGGCTGTCAACATGGCTGCTTACAAAGTAAACCATTGGTTGATAGGTTTACAGGATGCTGAGTTAAATTTTCATCATTCTAATAGAATGGTTGGTGATATTGACTTAGTCTTCCCGGCTGTTCTAGGTCTAAGTACACTCAGCCTTTTAGAGGACAAAACTGGGACATTAGAGAGAAAAGCCCAGAGGGAAACCCTTCTTTTGTCTCATTCTCATTGCCTTATGAAGTGTGAGGCACCCAACTCAAGCAGGAACTAAGGCAGGAGGAATACTGGAGCTCAGGAGTTTAAAACCAGCCTGGGCAACACAGCAAGATCCTGTGAGGGGAAAGAAGGGGAGGAGAACTGGGCAAGAAGGCCCTGGGCTCCATCCCCAGCACCACAAAAATAAATAAACAAACAGAGAGAAAAATCAAGATGGTTTTGACCTGGAAAGATGCCTATGATGAGTCAAGTAAAATGCAACAAAGTACATCGTCTCTTTTATGTCTATGTATGTTCCATGCATTTGAAGTCAGAAAACTACACTGAACTTTACAGTGAGGTCATATCAAGCAAGAGCATTCACAGAACTTGTTTTCTGATATATGGAAACTTCTATATATCATTTTGGCTCACACTAAATATCTTAAGTAAAAAGTTATTCCCATTTTGAAAAAGAAAGAGACATACATAAATATTTTTCTGTGCTTTGGTGCAGGGACCAGACAACTGCATAAAGTGTGCCCACTACATTGATGGCCCCCACTGTGTCAAGACCTGCCCAGCTGGAATCATGGGAGAAAACAACACCCTGGTCTGGAAGTATGCAGATGCCAACCGTGTCTGCCACCTATGCCATCCAAACTGCACTTATGGGTGAGTGGGGCTTGGATGCCCATAACAGAATGTAGAAACAGAAAATGTTTCCTAACTTGCAAATTTACATGTTGAAAACACCTCCCCAATCTCCTGGCCATGGATTATAGAGGTTTCTATCAATCCATTACACAGGTGATGGTCTTATATCCATTTTAGCAGCAGCAGCACGATTGAGTAGGTCTTGATACTGATAGGAATATCTCTTTGTCTCTCAGGATGTTTGTCACTTGGAGACTCTGTTCCACAGTGCTTCCTGTCCAAACAAGAGAGACTAAGTGATAGGTGGAAAGAGCTGAGTTCTCAACAGCTGTCACCTCTGCCTCTCTCTAGGTTACTAGGGTCCCAGTGTGCATTGATTTTTTTTTTTTTGGTGTTTTGCAATTACATTGTCTGGAATATTGCTTACAAGTACTATCTTATAACTAGTTGATTATTAAGCTGTTACCAATTTTGCTGCAATCAGCAGAAGTATTTTGATTGTATGTGTCTTGTTTACTGGAATAATAAATTTGGCAATCAAACTGAACTACATCTGGCAATCAAAAAGAAGTTGAGTTGCCATCTATACCATTTCATGTTTCCTTGTATTTCTTAAAATCTTCAATCTTGTTTGGCCCTATTCCTCTTTCTCTCTCTAGATCCATCCAGTATTAGTTGGGTGCCCTTAGGCAGGTGTCTTAGATTCTCCGGGCCTCTCTTTATCTGTGAATTGGAATAATAATACAACATACCTAACAGAATTTTTATAATTATGAGTTAAGGTGTCTAGTGTACTTAAAACAGTGCCTGGAACACAGTGAGCACTCGATTAATGAATAGTAGCATGGATGATGGTGGTGGTAATGAAGTGATGGTAACTATGTTGGTGACAGTAGCAATGGCAGTGATTGTGATTCAGACAATTATGATGAGTAGTCAGTTCTCTAGGAACACAATCATATCATCCCCCAATGATATTTTCATCTCTTTTTCAAAAGTTTCAAATTGTAGAACTGGGGATGTAGCTCAGTGGTAAAGTGCTTACCTAACATGCATGAGGCCCTGGGGTCAATCCGCACAACTGCTAAATAAGTAAATAAATAAAAAATTCAGATTGTGTTACATGGGCCAGAATTTCCAGAATAATATCTGACACAATGGAAGTGAACATCAGAGTTTTACATTTGACAGTGACTAGAATGGTTATGTCACAATATTAAGAACATCTGCTGTTAATTTGAGATACTAATTATCTTGTTAAGGAAACAGTCACCTAAACTATTTTTTTTAATAGTGAAGTACTATGGAATGGACTTTGAATTTTGCCAAATATCTCTTTGGTCACAATTTAATATTCTTCATATTTTGTCCCTTTTGCCATATCAGCATGCGGGTTATAGTGGCCAATTTGTAAACTCTGCAAAGCATATTATAAATTGTGCTTTGCATAAAAGAACCCAGATAGCCAAAGCAATCATGAGCAAACACAGCAATGCTGGAGGCATCTCAATATCTGATTTCCAAAGATATCAAGAGCCACAGAAATAAAAACAGCATAATATTGCCATAAAAACAGACATGTAGACCCATGGAATAGAACAGAGGATCCAGAAATAAACTTCCACATCTGCAGCCATGTTATTCTTGACAAGTTGCTAAAAACCTATGTTGGATAAAAGAAAGTCTCTTTAACAAATGGTGCTGGGAAAACTGAGAATCTACAAGTAGAAGATTAAAACCAGATCCTTATCTCTCACCCTGTCCAAAAATCAACTCCAAATGGATCAAAGACCTTAATTTAAGAGTTGAAATTTTGAAATTGCTAGAAGAGAATAGAGTGGCAACACTTTAGCATGTAGGTAGAGGCAAAGAGGAAATAAAAGCAAGAATTGACAAATGGGATTAAATCAAATTAGAAAGCTTCTACACAGCAAAGAAAGCAATTAACAGAATGAAGAGACAGTCTATGGAATGGGGAAAATATCTTTGTCAGCTATTATCTGACAGAATATTAATGTCCGGAATATATAATGAACTCCAAAAATGATCAACAAGATTGATAATTATCCCAACTAATACAATCAATTACCTGGCAGATGATCTGAACAGACACTTCTCAAATAAAGAAGTACAAATGRCCAGTAAACATGGAAAAAAATGCTCAACATCTTTAGCCATTAGAGAAATTCAAATCAAGACTACATTGAAATTCCATTTCACCCTAGTTACAACAGCTATTATTATAAAAATTAAAAAATAACAAACACTGTTAATGATGTGGAGAAAAAGGAACCTTTATATAGTGGGAATGTAAACTAGTGGAGCTGCTATGGAAAACAGTATGGAGKTTCCTCAAAAATATAAAACAAGAACTACCATAAATCTAGCTATACCACTCCTGGATATATACCAGAAGGAATAAAGTCAGCATCCTGAAGAGATCCCTAACACCCATGTCTATTGTAGCACTATTCATACTTGCCAAGATTTGGAATCAACCTTGGTGTACTTCACAGATAAATGAGTAAAGTGTGATTGATACACACACACACACACACACACACACACACACACACACACATACACACACACAATGGAATATTATTCAGCCATATAAAACAACAAAACCATGTGATTTGCAGGAAAATGGACAGAACTGAAGACCATCGTGTTGAGCAAAATAAGCCAGATGCAGAAAAACAAACATCACGTATTTTTCTCTCATATGTGGAAGCTTAAAAAATAAAACAAAACAAAAACATAAAAAACAATGATGACCTAAAAGTAGATGAGAGACTATTAGCGAAGGGGAAGGGGGGACTCAGGAAACATAAGGAGAGGGGAGGGCAAAAAGAGTGTAGATGGGAGAGTGGATATTATAAAAAATATGCTGCATATTAAGTATAGAAATCTTACAATGAAATCCATTCATCTAAAAAATTAATATGTTAATATTTATAATTTTAAAATTTAAAAAATAAATTATGCTTTGCTGTTTTTCACCATCTATTTTTATAAGCGATTTTGGAGCAGAATCTCTACAAAAGAACTATATTAGTGTATTATGTGGAGAAAAAGGAACTCTTAGGCACTGTTAGTGTATTTGTACATATTAATTAAATGTGTGTTTTTCTCCTTTATTCTGTGTTTCAGAAATTAGTGCATATATATGTCTCTTTGTCTATGAATGTGTAATTGTTGCCCTTTGTGGGGATCCAGAAAGTCTTCAGGAGTTGGACTTTTCAGTACATTTACCTAGAAAAATAAGCACATTTTGAAATGTAGGAAAAAGGAATTTAGTCAAATTTTTTTAAAATACTAGTGATCGTTTATTTTRATATTTTTCTATGTTTTTTTCCTGATTCTTGGCATTTTTGTTGGGAGAACATATAATTTTATATGATCTTATTATTACTACCAGTATTTTCTCTCAAAGTCATTAATTACATAGGAATTACATGATAGAAATAGATGTAACTTCTAAAATATGGAGAAATGTTGATGAGGGTAAAGGAAAATAAGGAAACCTTTCTTTTCCTGAATATTTATGAGGTGCATAGACTTATCAGCACAGTGTTTCTCTAAGTTCTCAGAAAGAGGTATTGCTTTGCCCATATTTATGGGGAAAGAAATACTTAATGGGGCTCAGTAATCATCTCAACTCATGAACCAGTGGAGTCTGATCCCTCACCATAGCATAGGACCTTGACTGATCCCAAGAACCACACCCTTCCAGCATGACAGGTGTGGCCACCCAGTGCACGGATAGGAATACTGGAAGCATATCCATTTTAAATGGAATCACATTTTCATATCAAGTGGCAAGGTATTTGAGACTTCACCCATAAATTTGAAATTTTTATCCTTATAAATTAAATTAGATAATATGAAATTTGCCTGCTTTTAAATCATATGCAACAAAAGGTACATGGTAATGTAATTTAAATGTAAATTCCTTACAAAAAAAGAGAGAAAAAAATGAGTGGAGGACAGAGAATAATTTTTCTGAGAGAATATAATGATAACCTAATCTGGCCTCTTTGACTTCATATCAGGAATCAAAAGGCAAGAAATGGTATATTCAGCTTTCCCAAAGAGCTCCTAATCTGTGACACTTAAATGGATATGCTTCCAGGATATCTACCCATGCACTAGGTGGCCACACCTGTCATGCTGGAAGGGTGTGGCTCTTAGGATCATTCAAGGTCCTGTGCTGTGGTGAGGGATCAGACTCCACTGGTTCATGAGTTGAGATGATTACTGAGCCCCATTAAGTGTTTCTTTCTCTCTGGAAGTACCTGTCCTGACTCTATCCTCTTCAAATGTAAACTGGTCTTTCCCTCTGAGCTTCTTGGTTGTAGCTCCCTGTTAGCAATCTCTGTGGTTTCTTTCCAGTATACCTTCAGAGGCTGCATAAGACCCCGCCTCTTGTCCAAACTGCAATTTCAATMTGCCCTTGCTTAGCATAATGTTCCCACTACATCACATTTGACAATTAAGAGCTGCTGAAAGACATTGTGGTGGGAAAAGAGGGTGGGAGGATATTTTGAATAAGGCCTGTTTTTATCAGTGGCCGGTTCATTACAGAATGCTCTCTATTTTGAGTATCTTAATGTTCCCAGAAGGTAATAGATGGAAATAAGGAGGCTTCCCTGTATATTTCACTGCCTGAAGGCACCTGTGTGTTTCATTTATGGGTGAAATCTTGAAGGCGTGGCAGAAGCAAGACTGTTGTACCTGACACTGAGGAAAAATGCAGGAGCCCCAGCCATTAAAACCAAGAAGAGTAGGGTATAGAGATCAGAGCCAATTACTGGCACCTAAGGAATATGGATAGAAAGTGTTTACAACAGTCTAGAGATATTATTCACTCATATCCAAAAGTCTCCCTGGTGCCCTTCATATATATAAACCACAGTGTGATAATGATGGTAATCTGTTCCACTACAATGGGACCCTCGCTGCTCAGGAGTAATCTGTAAGGCAGTCCTGTATGATCTGCATAGAGAATGACTCAATTGAATGATCTGGGTGGGGCCAGTGCCTGTCCTGCCTTTCTGTGTCTGATCATCACAGCCATCTTGCTGCCTTTCAGACTCATACCTTTTCTTATCTGTCCCTCCAGCATTCCTTTCTGCCTCTCCTTCATGTGGACTACCAGGTTTCTATTATTATACCTCCTATCCAGTGTCTCCCTTAATTTTTTAGGGCTCCTTCCTTTTCTAGCATGCTGTCTGTAACCTGATTCCCATCTCAGGAGCAGCCTGTGCTCCATTCCATCACTGCTGGATGTTTGTTCAAAGTTCAGCTTTCCTGGGAGGCCAGCAAAGACTCCACACTGCCACCCTATTCCTGCTTCAGTATGGCTCCAGTGTATGTGTCTCATGTTGGCTCCCTGCCCTCCCCTATCTATCTTTTTTTTTTAATTTTATTTTTTTTATTGGTTGTTCACAACATTACAAAGCTCTTGACATATCATATTTCATACATTAGATTGAAGTGGGTTATGAACTCCCAAATGCAGATTGCAGAATCACATCGGTTACACATCCACAATTTTACATAATGCCCAATTAGTAATTGTTGTATTCTGCTACCTTTCCTATCCCCTACTATCCCCCCTCCCCTCCCCTCCCATCTTCTCTCTCTACCCCATCTACTGTAATTCATTTCTCTCCTTGTTTATTTTCCCATTCCCCTCACAACCTCTTATATGTAATTTTGTATAGCAATGAGGGTCTCCCTTCATTTCCATGCAATTTCCCTTTTCTCTCCCTTTCCCTCCCATCTCATGTCTCTGTTTAATGTTAATCTTTTCTTCCTCCTCTTCCTCCCTGCTCTGTTCATAGTTGCTCTCATTATATCAAAGAAGACATTTGGTATTTGATTTTTAGGGATTGGCTAGCTTCACTAAGCATAATCTGCTCTAAGCAAGGAAGAAAAGGAGTACAAACAATGCAGGACAGCCTAAATATTCAGGAGGACCTAGAGTCATCAGAAAAATGGTCATATAAAGAACTCAAGGAACACCTTAGACAGATGGAATGGAACCTTAAAGAGGATACGAGACAGCAAATTCAAGCAGCGAAAGAACACATTGAGAATGAATTACATGAACAGATAAAAGAAGCAGATAAGCATCTTTATCAGGATATAGATTATAAAAAATAATCAAATAATAATTCTAGAAATGAAGGAAACGATAAACCAAATTAAAAACTCAATTGAGAGTATCACTAACAGAGTAGAGCAAGTAGAAGCCAGAACGTCAGATAATGAAGACAAAATATATCATCTTGAAAAGAGTGTAGACAACTCAGAAGGGCTGGTAAAAAATCACGAGAGGTAAATAGGGAGCTTACCTCCCCTATCTATCTTAACATCTACGGCCAGCTATGAGATAGCTGGTCTGTGTCAAAAGTGGACTATATGTGAAAATATTCCAATAATGACCTGACTGCTTTGTTCAATTCCCTGTACAAAGAAGACACTCATGAATATTTCCTTCATGGATGATCAAATGAGTCAAATACATACTACATAAATTAGTAATCACCACCCCAGTATTGAGATGCAATGTAATGATTTGAGAGCAATTTGCTGCACATTGCTTATAAGTTAATTTTTTTTTAAATCTCCACAAAACAAATGCCAAAGAGTTAGAATGTATTTGTCTTTTATTGCCCACAGATGTGCTGGACCAGGGCTTCAAGGCTGTACAATAAATGGGTAAGTATCAGTTTGGGATCCAATGGACCTCCTCAAATATTACCAAAAGTCATTTCTGATTGTCCCGGAGCCTTGTCAGTTTCTTAAGCCTTCCCTTAGTCAGCCCAAGGTCCCCAGCAGAAACTGCCTTGCTGATTCCACCTTCCTGTCCCCTATCAACTTTGTTCTTCAGTGGAAGGGATGCAGGAAGGGTTAGGCCTGGGCCTTCTCCATAGGAATTGGTACCCATGGCTAGCCACCTCTTTATACATACCTCTCTCTGGCTTCAGCAGTTACACCAGTTTTCCTTAATCTTACTATCTCCCAACTTCTACTCATTTTTTCCCCACTAAATCAATATTATCACAAACCTGTGTTTAAATGACTTTTCTATTAAATGACAAAGATCCAGCTTGGAGGGAATTTTCTTTCTTTGATTTATTTTCAAAACACATTGTCCAACAATGACAAATGGACTTCCTTTGACATTTCAATTCTGATYAGTTTGCCATTATTGCCGGATGCACTGAGAAAAACAAAATCACAAATTCCTGTTCAGACTTAACTGGGAAAGAGTGGTATCATCAATCAGCATCGTCTAGTGAAGAGTTGGAGAATCATGCACAAAACATCTCTTTGCCATTTCTGAGAAAACTCTAGCCAAACTCCCAAGGAATGGGTGCCATTCTGATTATGTTGACAAAATCCTTCCACTTACTGATCTTGTAAGAGTGATCCACTTTACCCTTTGAATATAGCCCTTGCTGATTTCTTTTCCTCTTTTCCCTCTCCCCTCCCCTAACCTGAAGGCAGGGAACTAGATTACTTTATCTGTTCTCCACAGCAAAGAGATGTCACCAGAAGAACTAGGAAGTGACTATCTCCCAAATTAACAAGTGAATTTCAACATAATATTCAGGCCAAGCTTGGGGYCCCCTGTCAGGGCACACCTGGAATGTAGCCTTTGAAGAGTTTCTTTAAAACTCCTGTTTTCTCTGATGGGCAGAACCACAGCCTCTGGAACTGGAGTCCCCTGTGTTTCTCCTTTGCTAGCAAAGCAATAAACCTCCTTTTTCTCAAAACTGTATCCTCTTCCTAAATTGGCATGAATTGGCACTGGGGACAAGGACTGAGCTTTTGGTAACAAATGTTTTTCAACTTCAGCCTACTCATCTGCCCCAGACCTGATAGTTGTAGCTGGTGGCTTCTGCCACCAGGTGAAACATTAAAGAGAAATAAGGCAATTTCTGAGACATAGGATCTCTTCCATCCCCATCTCTTCACTGAGCCTACAAGGACATACAACAAAACTTTTCCTGTCTTTAGACTACAATCTCAGTRATGAGTAGAGGCAAAAATAACTGAAACAGGGACAGACCTTGATAGATGAGTGATTCTTTTATTGAGCAGCAGAAGGGCACATTTTCAGGAAAGAAAATGACGATGGGCTACAACATGGGTCTGAGTTTTGTAGGGTTCAGCAGAGCCCGGTCATGGGATGAGTTGGTTCGGCAGGCTCATTTAGGGTGAGACAGGAGGGGAAAGTAGGGAAGTTCCCTGGGGCCTCTTTTACTAGGGTCATCAGGTGGGAGTCAGGTGTAAGTTCCTTTTGTGTTCTCCCCATTTTCCCTTCCTGCCTTCCCTCCAGCTGAAGCCTGAGCTTCTGAATGACCAAAGCTCCCAATTTACCACAGACATCTCCCTACACACAAGTGGCAGGAAGATGGGTAGGGGAATAGCTGTAGATAGGGGAGTGCCTGGGGTTTATTCTCCATGTCCTTCATTCCAGACTCTGAAAGAGGTATGATTAATTGGGGCAATGTCATTATATCTAGCTATTTCCTGCTGAGAAGAAAAATTACCTTTCAGGATACTGGAAGAGGATATAGAGCCGAGCCTCTGGCTTGGGCTGAAGAGGGATATATATGGAAGAGGATTTGGGGTCACCATAGGCAATCTTTTCCCATAGTGGTTTCTAGGAATCCAATTGTGAATGCAGAAGTATAATGGCTTTTTWAAAAAAATTATAGATGGATATAATATCTTTATTTAAATAGTTTATTCATTTTTATGTGGTGCTGAGGATCAAACCCAGTGCCTCACATGTACGAGGCAAGTACTCTGCCACTAAGCCACAACCCCAACCCAGGATAATGGCATTAAAGTGTCCCTGGGAAGCAGATCAAGCCAAACAGGTCACTTTACTAAGAAGTTGTCTCTGTGTGAATTTAAGGATACAGGGAAGAAAGGTTATTATGAGGAAGATGAATATTAAAGAAGATATAARGGAGAATAACCAAGAAATCCACCATGTTAGATCCCCCAATGAGGACCACCAGGAATCTGCCAGTTCTCATCTCTGTTGTTCCAACTGTCCCTGTAGTTATTTAACCTTWTCCCTTACCAGTCCTGATTGACTGATATTGAAGCAACATCCCAAGGAAGAGACAGAAGCCACCTTGTTTGACAGTAAAGAGATTTAGTCCTGGACAATTTTTTAGGACAACAGACACCAAAGAATCCAGTTGATTTTGTAAAGTCAGTACTGAATTGGCAACCTGATGGATATCCTCAATAACCTGTTGTGACATTTTTTAAAGAAATGAATAGACATTCCTAATCCCACTGCTCCCGTGTCAATTTGGGCAGATATCTCCAGGCTTTGAGTAAGGAAATAAACTGAAGGGCTCTCTTGTGCCTGGTGTGTACATTATCAGGATAGGCAATTTTTGGTTGTTAGCTAAAACATCAGTTTGAGAAGTAAGAAAAACCAAGGTGCAGAGGCCAGTCCAATTTTTGGTAGGCAGGGGTAAATATGAGCCTTGCAAAGGAAAAAATGCCTCAGAATTTGAGGGCAACAGGACTGTGGGACTGACACAAGTGTCTATCTTAATTTCTGTTAAAAGAACTGTTTGCTGGGTGTAGTGGTGCATGCCTGTAATCCCAGTGGCTGGGAGGCTGAGACAGGAGGATCACAAGTTCAAAGCCAGCATGATGTGGCTCAGTGATCCGTAGAGTGTCCCCTGAGTTCAATCTCCAATACCCTCCCACACAAAAAAAAAAAAAAAAAAAAGAAAAAAAAAAAAAACCATTGTCCTTTCTTTTAAATGCTGGTATGGCTGTACTTTGGTTATAACTGGTTATGCTAAGTGTTCAAGATCAAGCTGGTCAATTTGACCTTGTTTCTGTCTATTGTTAAGAATCTGCTAAGTTATCTTAGGAGTTTATTCTTGTGGAACTTGACAGCAGCCTTTTAGCTTTTTTAGTGGCTATCTGCCAGGATGGGTCAGAGTCTTACTGACCATGTGGCCTCCTTTGGAAGCATCAGGGATGTCTCTCTTCTCCAATGAACCTCCTCTTTTGCAGYATGTGCACTGGTCAGCTTTCTGTTCTCCAGGGTCTCATGGATCACCCTGATTGGGAGGTCATGTGACCCAGAGTTCCAAAGCCCTTAGAGAAGTTTCTTTGTTCCCTTGATTCAAGCTGACTCAGAGGGCAAGAACCAAATATTGGATATTTTTTCTTGACCTTTAATTTCCTTAATTTTAATCTCTAAGCTTTGGTCTTAAACATCCAGCAAGCCAGTTTCACCAGTCTTGTAAGAGTACTGGGTTTTAAATTTAATGCCTATAACTTTACAGTCATTTACCTATTTTATTTAATTGGGGTCAGTATTAGTACTGGAAGTTATCCCTACATCGTGTCTGTCTATAGATGATGGCCTACTATTTCAAATTAATTCAGGTTATTATATCTAAAGTTGTACTTCTGTAAGGGACTAACAGTAACAGTTAAAGTTTACAAGGAAATTACAAAATGAACTTTACAGGAATAAAAACATATTTAATTTGTATCATATTTATGAACCAAGAAAAATAATTTTACAATCCCAAACCTTTACTTTAAACTTTAGTTTGAAGAATACCAGCTTGGTAAAATGCTCTTTTAAACCTTATACTTTAAAGACTTGAATACTTGGAAGATATGAATACAACAATAYCACAATTATACTGATGTTTTTATATTAACCAAGTTTAGCTTTTAAAGAAAAATTCAGAATCTGTAATGTAATATGATACTCTAAAATAACAGCTGTTATTTCACCAGAGTTGTACAAACTCTAATTCCTTTATGACCAGTTGCTTTAAAGAATAAAATTTAACAAACACAAGCGATTACCTTGATAAGAGCAAATTATTGTTCTAAGAAATCTTTGTTACTTTAGCCCATAGAGGACTAAATTTTGGTTTATACCAGTATATTAATATTTTACCTTAGAGAAAAAAAATTGGAATAGCTTTAATTAATTATGTTAATTAYATTTAACCAACTTAGTTARACACACACTATTGAAATTTACCCTKCACAAACCCTTTTGCAACTTGCTTAGACATTTTACARCTTTTTACTTTACCACACAAAGACTTTTCACTAGAAACATTTCTTTTTTCTGGCAMTTTTCATACTAAAATAGATTTCTCTATCTAGAACATCTTGGTTTTTTCCTCACTGTTGATCCTTTTCTTAATTCACACTCGAAAGCAACCCATATAAACTTCTGAATTTAGACAAATGATTTCACCTTAATAAGGTGAAATCCTTTGTTTTTATGGTACTTTAATTGAAGCCCATTTGAAACCTCTTATRCTTTGCATGTAAATTACACCTGATAGAATCTTAATTCTTAATAACCTTGTCTTCAGTGAAGACACAAAGCACTCTTCAACCTTTTTTCACTTACCAATTTATGAAAACACTAATTCAAGAAGTCAAGAGTACTTGATTTTATATTTTTGCAGTTAACGTTTTAACTTTGTAATCAGATGTTTCTGATAAGCACATTTATAATTAATACCATTTATGTCAAATCTAATTTACTTATTTTTTAYTGTAAATACCAAGATACCAAGTGTAGCTAACAGTACTAGCCATTTCTTCCTTGTTGGAGAAAAATTCTAGAAACAATGGATATTACATTCTAGACATTTTGTAGAAACCAACAATCTATTAATTGTCTGRCCACCTAGAAAAACATTTGAGCTAGTAATTTTAAAGACATATTTTACTCTTATTTATTTCCCGGATTTAAATTGAACTTTTTTACATCATGTGAACTAAAAGGTATTTGGATCCATTTTTTATTTAAATTTAAGTTTATGAATGTTCATTTATATGCCAATTTTGATACCATGTACATGATATATGGATACAAATCCATGTGAAGACACAACACAATGCACAAGTATGTACACATACACAAAACAAACAAGAAACAAAAACCTTGTAGCTTTTTGTAGGTTGATCTCCACTGGAATGTTATAGATGTTCCTTAAAGCCTCTATTAGATTTATTCCCAGCATCACCATGTCTAAGTCCTACTAAGGATCTTGTAAAATGACATTTTCCCAGTGTARATGAGAGCTAACCCTTGAAGATTGGCCTCTGAACAACACAACAGAGTGCAAGAACTGCTATAGTTRGATAAAATAATAATGATCAGAAAAACATATTAATTTAGGCACACAGAATCATATGTGAATTCATCATAAAATCATGAGCTCAAAAATATAGAACTAAAAAAACAAAAACAAGTGTCCTAGAAAAAAAATAGCATGGCTGTAATTAGTAAAGGAGCATGCAGAACATCTTTATCAGATCAGGGTTTACTTTTGACTTAGATTAGAGTGAATTCAGACATTGAAAGAATAAGGTAGAGCTCTTAAATAATTAGGTAAAGATTCTCAAGGTAAAGAAGACTTGACCATTTCTTTCTTTCTTTCTTTCTTTCTTTCTTTCTTTCTTTTTTTTTTTTAAAGAGGCATATTTTTTCACCCTCTGATCTCAAATACTGTAAGATCAGCAGGCCTCTGCAATTTGCATTTCAATGCAAGCCTTGGTGAGATATAGATCTGGCAGGAGCCAAGGGAATCTGCTGTTTGAGCTACTCCTCATGCTTAGGGCATTTTAACCATTTTTCCTTTATAAGATCAGTCTCCTAAGGTGTGGTTCTATAATTTATGTTTCCTCCTGAGATCAGTTTTATTCCYCAGGTGATAATCAGGCAAGGTTTGAGGGGGGGGGGGTCTTTTAGTTGGATTTGAATAGAGGGATGGTGGTAAGCAATTTTGGGTTGACAGGTGTCCCARACTGTGGGTTCAATCCCAGCAAGTAAGGAATTATCAGGAGACTTAAGACCTGGCACTAAGACCAGGACCAGGCTGGAATGTATTAAAAAAAAAAAAAAAGTCATAGAAAAGGGAACAATCCCTTCAGCCCCTGCCACCTCCCAGAAAGGGACGTGTGTTTCACTGGAAGAGTTTTTAGATTGTGTAAGAGGAGGTGATGGCAAAGGAGGGGGGGGTGGCACTTGGGTGTGGGTTTTGAGGGGGGCAGGTGGGATGAGGATGCAGAGGGACCCTGAGGTCTTTAAGGAGAGTGTTCACCTGCCATTTTGGGAGCTATGAATGAGGAAGGGAGTTGTGGGTTAGTGAGGATTAGTTTTAGAGTAGAGCAGGGCTGGTATAATGAAGGCTAGAGTGAAGGTAAAAGAAATCTTGGGGATTTCATTGGAGGAAATTGTCCAAATCTTGGAGAATTTTTTGATCAAAGTTCCCGAACTCAGGCCATTGATGTAGATTGTCTAATTTGAATTGTGGCCAGATTTGGGTATTCAGCCTAATAAGGCATTTGATTTTGAGGTCRGATTGGAAGTGGAGGATTTTCAGGTTTTTATTTTTTTATTTTTATTTTTTTTATTGGTTGTTCAAAACATTACAATGCTCTTGACATATCATATTTCATACATTTGATTCAAGTGGGTTATGAACTCCCATTTTTACCACGTGTACAGATTGCAGAATCACATTCTCCATGTCCTTCAGTGAGATTTTCCATCACCACCCCACCTAGAAACKAATCAATTCAATTTTTTGTAATTTTACATCTGTGTGGGTGTGTGATTCTGGGGATTGAATCCACTCTACCACTGAAATAAGCCCTCCTGCTTCAGCCTCCASAGTAGCTTGAATTATAGGCATGTGCCACTGCCCCCAGCAATATATACTCTTTTTAATATTTTTCTCTTCTCAATCACTCACTCTTACTACTGTGGTCCCCCATGGAACTCATACTGTGGAACAAATTATTCCTTGTATCTTCCAGTGTGCCCTTTAATATATAGTAAAAACTCATTAATTCAAACTTTATTAATTTGGGATTTGGAATGCAATGCTGGAGATGACTTTTGCCCTTYCTAAAAAGAAAAATGTTGTGAACTATCATTTTTATAAATTCATTTGACCCACTTAAAAGAAATGTGCAAGGACTTTGGCATCTTTTTAATGGACAAATGATAGTGCTAATTAATCTTTGCTATTCATTAACATCTCTACCCAAAAATAAGAATCAATTTACCAGGAACTCTATTAGAATAGACAGTAGGATAATAATTTTCATGCCAGCAATACACACACACACACACACACACACACACAAAAACAATCATTTGGTAAAGACTCCAGATACAGCTATTTATATTATTAATTCATATGGTCCTTCCTCCAGTGAGCTGAAAAAGCAGACTTCTGATTTTTTTCCTCTTTCTGAAATTAGGTATGACCTTGGTAAGACACAGGAGTTAATGCACGGGGGTGTGAGGCTACGTGAAAACACTCACTGTAACAATGATGCTTTTTTGTCTAAACCCTATCACTTTACAACCCTCATCAGGCATATTCATAGAGCAGTTCACATAGCTGTGGGACCCATCTTGAAAACCAAGGACCCCTTTAGGGATCTTATTGTTTCTGGAAGGTTCTTTCACCAAACCTAGCAGGGAGACAATATCTTCACTTGAACCGGCATGTTCTTGGAAAGAACAAAATACAGATTCATATAAAAAGCATTATTAAAGTCTGAATCATTTTTTAAATTGTATGTTTTCTTAATCAGTAGATTAAAAAAAATTGTCACCATGTGGAGAGATGAGACCTCAGTTTACAAAGTGAAAAACGGGGGGCTAGGCTGGGAAGAGAGAAGCTGAAAATGTTGGAAATATTGTCCTAGGAATCAGTGAGGTGACTTTTCTCCCTTTAGAAGCTACACAATATCCCACTTTCTGAGAAAATATTAAATGACGTTAATGTGTCAAAAAGTGCAGGAAATGTGAAGCAAACCTCAATCTTTCTTGTCTTTCCATTTTATTCCAGACCCAAGATCCCATCCATTGCCACTGGGATTGTGGGTGGTCTCTTCTTGCTGGTGATAGTGGCCCTTGGGATCGGCCTTTTCATGAGAAGGCGTCACATTGTCAGGAAGCGCACGCTGCGTAGACTGCTTCAGGAGAGAGAGGTGAGTGCAGGAGCCTGGCTCTCTTGGGGCCAGAAGCACCATTAGGAACCAACACTGCTCTAGAGAGAAAAAAGAATCTTCCTTTGAGAATTTGTAACTTGCAATTTTGTATTTTGGTTGTTGTTTCAGTCAGTTTTCCATCACTATAACAAATACCTGAGTTAATCAACTTATAAAGAAAAAAAAGTTTATTTGACTCACATTTGTGGAGCTTTTAGTCCATGATCAGTTGGCCCCATTGTTTTGGGCCTATGTTAGCACATCATGGTAGAAGCATGTGGCAGAATAAAATCACTCACTTCATGTTAGGAAGTGAAAAAGAGAGAAAGAAGAGACCRGGGTCCCACTGTCTCCTTCTTCTAATACACACCCCCAGTGACATATAGACCTCCCACTAAACTTCATTTTCTAAAAGTCTCACCACCTCCCAATAGTACCATGGGCCAGAGACTAAGCCTTCAACACCTGGACCTTTGAAACACTTCTCCAAACAACAGCAAATATATAATTATATTATTATGATTATTTGTTATAATGGAAGAATGAGAAAAAAAAATTCTTAGGTATCCAGTTCTACTCAGTTACATTTTGTTACCTCTAGACAATGAAATCTAAATGTTTCTGGGTTAAGTCCTATGAAATGCTTACAAAGCGGAGTAGAGGCCCAAGATGCAGAACCTCTGTGTATACATAGGAGGAGGCTTAGCAAGAGATGACTACTTGTAAACAAGCCACTGTGGTCAGATAAGATGTCACTCTGGAAAAGGCCACCATCCACACCAGTGGCTGCTCCTTTAAGCTCTGTTTGAGATTGGTGTGATCCTTCACACAGCCTGAAGCTGGCATCTGTGTCCAGCACTGTGGTAGAAGCCAGTGCCCCTCATAAGCATAATGGCATTTTGTGTTGGGGACCCACAAATGACAAAAATGACCACCATATACAAATTTTCCTCACCAGTTTTTCAGTCTAGCTAGTTGGTGTGAAACAGAAATAGAAATTGCATTTGTTGAATGTGGATATATCAGAGAAGCTCTGTTCCTATCGTGTTTTATCAAGTTCTTTAAAGAAAGTGTCCATTTGTCCTTTTGAACAAGSAGGGTGAGTGCTCTATACTAAAAGGTGACCACGTGTTTTTGGATTCTGGCTGCTCGTGCTCTGGACCCATCTAGCACCCACATTGCTGTTGGTGTGGTGCCTTGAACTAGCATCTTAGATCTGTTCCCTTCTCTTTCACAGCTTGTGGAGCCTCTGACRCCCAGTGGAGAAGCCCCCAACCAAGCTCTCCTGAGGATCTTAAAGGAAACAGAATTCAAAAAGATAAAAGTGCTGGGCTCAGGAGCATTTGGCACTGTGTATAAGGTAACAACCATGGGGACAAGTAAAACCCCGGGGCTCACCATGACCCAGTCAGTGACAAGTCCTCAGTGTGTCACTGATTTTCATCATCTCTTCTCTTTGCTTGGCTGAGGGCTTGGGAAACTCCAATGTTTTTCCAAGTCATTGAGAGGAAATCTTTTATAGCCACAATGCAAATAAGTGGTCTTTGGGGGCCAAAAGCATTGTTAAAGATGGTATTGACCTTTCGAGGGGAGTGTGGTACAGGCAGGAGGCTGTAGCAAGTGAATACAGAAGGGGAGCTGCCTGTCATTGCATTAAGCATCAAAATAAAGCCCAGGTCAGAACAGGATCTTCCTAATATGCTTCATTCCTTTTCCTGTTTGCTTAAAATCTGGTTTTAGTTAGGTCTAGATTCAAAGCATCTTAGAATTCTGGACTAAGTGATCCACACTGACTTCACAACTGGCCCAAGCAGGTTTTGTACTCTGATTCATGCACCTGATAGCTAAAGAGAGGCTTAGAAGTCACAGTTGGCCTTGCAGTGTAGAGCTGTGGCTCCACTTAGGATTGTCACTAATAAAATCCTTCTAGCACACAAGACAACATATTGCACGGTGTGATRATCACCAATTAATGTCTTCTCTTTCTCTTGATCTCAGGGACTCTGGATTCCAGAAGGTGAGAARGTTAAAATTCCAGTAGCAATCAAAGAATTAAGAGAAGCCACGTCTCCAAAAGCCAACAAGGAAATTCTTGACGTAAGTATCTGCTTTGTTCTCTAGTTGTCCACAGGATGGACATCAGAAGCCGCCTTTTCTGGTGTCAGCATCAGGTTGCTTTATTCTAAGTGTTTACTTTTCGTATCTTTTTCCTCCTAGCCATAGTGCATTTATTTCCCTCCTCTTGTGGAAAAGATYCTTCCATTATGTTATCCAGAGATGGCTGGGAATCTCAGGAGCCTGTTGACACTAGTTTCTTTACATACATTACCACAGTAAATACTCATGATGAGCCTGTGACATAGATATTATGTTCAGTATTTTTTGGATAAAAAAAAATGGTGCCATAAAGAAACTCACCCAGCTTCTAATGTCTGGGATAGGCATAAAACCCTTCATGATTTTTTTAAATATATTTTTTAGTTGTAGATGGACACAATATCCTTATTTTGTTTATTTTTATGTGGTGCTGAGGATTGAACCCAATGCCTCACACATGCTAGGCAAGCATTCTGCCCCTGAGCTACAATCTCAGCCCCAAACCTTCATGATTTCTGACTCTGAAACTCATGTTCAGCTTGCTTTTCTGAAGTATCTTATCTTTAAAATGGCTTTTATTGATGGTGCCTAAGATTCACAATATAATTCCCTCTTCATGAACTGCTGACCACATTCTGTACTTTCTCACAAGGAAGAGGCTAGTTGAAAGGGGACAGCCTGAAGTAGGACAGAGCCCTCTTCAGTATTGGCCTGGCTTGTTATGAGTTATTGGAAGCTCCTGCTCTTGTTCTGAGACACACACACAGCATGTGAAATAGGAGATATGGAGGGCCTACCCAGTAGGTTGGAAAACAGAGTCAAAGAAAAGGAAAAATGTCTGCCTCTTGCTGCAGAAATTTAGACAATTTAGCGATCTTACAGCCAAAGACAAAAGCCATATAGTATTATCGTCAATTTACAGATCTATAATAAGTGAGGCAAATATGAGCCTTTTAAAATTGTGCTTAGATGTGATGCATTTTCCAGTGGCAAAACCCTCTGCCCTTTAATTTTCTCTGGGCAGCTTTCTCTCTCTTTTTTTTTTTTTTTCTAGTGGGGAAACGCCACATGGGTACACTCCTAAATGAAAGATGATATATTAATATAATGTAATAGAAAATCTTACACGTGGATGACATACTTATCAAGCAAAATTATCTTTCACTTTAATGGTTTACAAATCAGTGTCGAGTCCTGTTAATGTGATGTCAAGTTTTGTTAACCACAAAAAAAAGAATAAGCAGACAAGGATTTGTGAAGTCTTTTCACTTAAAACCTCTAACCCTTAACCTCTACTGTTAAAAAGAGTACCTTTTGCCAAATTTGCTTCCTTTGTTAATTTTCTGTTCATTCAAGACATTCTAATAAACAACCCAGAACATACATTTCAACAATATTTATAAGGTAGAATAAGGAAAGCTCGAAAGTATTCTAAACAATAGCTATGCTTTGGGAAGGAAGTAGTTTTCACTGAAAATTTTCTCCCTTCTCCCAGGACCTTTTAATGAAGGAAATCTGTGTTTCTGTGGGTGGAGATGGGGTAGATGAGGGATAAAGGAAAGGTTTAAAATATCGCAAGGTCCTATTTTGCCTCATACTCATCCTTTCACCTGGTCTCCTCCCCGCTCCCCATTATTTTTATTTCCTTCTCCCACTTTGTTTCTTCATTCTCGTCATCTTTGGTCTTCTCTTCAAATATCAGATGTTATGACTGTGGCACTGGATGATAAACTTGAGGCTTTCTCATTTGCTTGTCCTAAGGCTCAATCTCCTGGGCGCTCCCACATTTTCCTGGCAGTGTGGAGTCATGTGCTGGTGCTGGAAAGCACCCTCTGGAAATCAGGAACGTTGAAGGAGGTAGTTTCTGCTAAAAGAAACAAAGCCAGAGATGCTAAGGCCAATTTCAACAGTGTGCTAAATAGCACATTAATTCTGTGACAAGGCATCCCATGGGCCAAGTATTTTTTATTTTTAAATACTGGCTGTACTCATACATGGTTCCAAAGACCCAGTACTCTGTGGTCCACCATGGGCTGTTTTACATGGCTGTTTTACACTGTTTTACATGGCTGTCAGTGGCTTAGTTAACTGTTAAAGTTTTTAAATATGGGGGGCACCTATTCTTCACTCAAAAGATTAGACATAGGCCTTTTCTTAGGAGTTTAGAGTCTAGTGGAATTATTTTCCTTATTCATAACATAAAACAGTTCAAAAATGAAGGAGAGCCAGGTGTAGTGGTGCACACCTGTAACCCAGCAGCTGGGGGGGTGGGGTGGGCGGGAGCTGAGGCAAGAGGATCACGAGTTCAAAGCTAGCCTCAGCAATTTAGTGAGGCGCTGACCAACATGGCAAGACCCCATCTCAAAGTAAAAAATTATAAGGGCTTGGGATGTGGCTCAGTTGATAAGTACCCCTGAATTCAATCCCTGCTGCCAAAAAAAAAAAAAAAAGAAAGAAAGAAAGAAGAAAAATAAATGTTGATAGGCAGCAAAGAAGGCCCAATAATCATTGCCAGCAATAAGGACAAACATAATAGATTCTTAAGGTCACCAAAACCTCAGGGACAACCCAGTGGTAGGACTTGGGCAGCAGCCACCAGGGTCTCCAAGTGTGAGCTCTGCCTGCCTGGGTGGCTTGTGCTGAGATTGTTGTGGAATACCAAGCATACTTGGTGTAGGTCACGGTGCACCTTCACGATTTCCAAGATAAACAGTAAAGAACAAAGCTCACTTTAACTTCTGCACATGCTGAGCAGGGCACACAACAACAGTGTTCCCATTGTGCCCTGGGGAGGCGGGGCAGGAAGTGACGACTCAGCTCTGTTGGTCTTTCAGGTTTTAGTAGGACCAGGACCTGGCAAGCTTCCAAACTCTGTGTGGCCTGACACCCACACCCCCTGCTCTGTTCCCAGTTCCTGGTTCCAGATCAGCCCCTTGCCGACCCACAACAGATGGGCTGCTGAGAGTGCTCCACTTTGCAGATTTTTCTCCCCTTTAAAATGAATACAATATGTACTCAAATCTCAACCAGATCTTGAGAAAATAGGAACCTCCAGAGGATTTCTTTGGTGTTATGGTTGTACAGCTTCCCAGACTCCGGGGAGAGATGTGATTTGTGCTTTTATGTCAATCCCATGGCTTATTAATTTTTCCATAGACTTTCCAGTTTAAATTTAGGGTAGGCAATGGAAAAGGAATGCAAAACAGATTTATATATGGGTTTCACATGTGTGTGTGCACACACGTGTGCCACCTAAAGCTTTCAGGCAGCCCATAAAACAGAGCACCTGAAAGACATCATCATTTGCTTCCATATGCAAAGAGATGCCCTAGGAGCACCTGGTGCTACACATGTGCTGAGCGGGTGGACCATGGAGAGAAGCCCACTGGCCCAGGGGTTAGGAGACCCAGATGTGGGCCCATTCCTGACACTAAGAAGTAGTATACCCTCAGGTTGGCCATTCATTTCCCTAGGCCTCAGTCTCTTCTGACAATGTTGACCTCAAACACAATGCACTTGCTGGCCCCATTCAATTCTCTGACATTTGCAAGCACTTTTTCAAGATTAAGGATATTTTCAAGGACCCCAGAGTCAACAGGTATTAAATATCTACTCTGCTCTTTAATGTTGTAATATTGTTTTTATAATAGAAAATATTCATATCCTGCTTAAAAATTAAATTATGTTTATAATAGAAAAATGCATATCCTGCTTGAAAATAGAGACCATAAACAATCAAGAAAGTATCTCCTATTTGTTAGAGGATGGGTTTTGAGGCAACAAATAAGGAAACATTTGCTGGTGTGATCTAGTACTATCGAGTGCCAGCTATACTCTAAGCATATGCTGCTAGGTATGAGAATGTAGCCCATCTCTTGAAAACTTGGTGGGGGAAGGACCTGTTTTAAATTACACAGATAAGTATAGATTAGGATGTGTTCTCCAAAGCAGTGGCTCTGCAGCTTCATCAAGAATCTCCCAAGGGCTTGTTCAAAGAAATGGCATCTCGCTTCTAGGCCTAAGGGGAGCTGCAAGAATTTACCTCTTACAAGTTCTCAGGCAATGCTGGGACTGCTTCCCTGAAAAAAAAAAAAAAAAAAAAAAACTGCAAGATGCCAGGGAAGTTTTAATGGGGAGTCAGTGAGGTTCCTGAGAAAATCAGGAGGGCCTTTGGGGACAGAGGCTCTCCAGTGGAAGAGACCTGAGGGGAGAGCAGGCAGCAAGAGTTTCCCAAGAATGGTGAGGACCCAGGGAAGGGTTCAAGGCAAGAAAAGTGCTGTGATCATATTTGTGTTTAAGTACATATACAGGGGCTGTGGATATGTAGCTCAGTGATTGAGCATGTACCTAGCATATGCATGCCCCTAGGTTTCATCCCTAGTACCACAAAGTATAGATAGATAGACAGATAGACCTGCATATTTTCATACACACACATACACAATAAATAAATAAATCTAAATTTTCACACAAATACACACACATATGCCCTCTCCCTACCATCCTCACCATGACTGTCTTCTGTCTTCAACCCYATGTTCCAGTCTCCTTGCCCAGTTTATGCCACATACCTGAGCATCCCTGGCCTCACCTTGTCTCTTGGGCTACACTCTAAACACAGCAGTTGCTGAAATATGGAAAGGAACCTCTGATCACATTCTCTTGCAGTTCATGTTGTCTCTTTCACATCCAAATAAAAGGTCACCACCATTTGTATTTTAAAGGGAAAGAGAATTTATGGGTGGAAATTGAGGGTTCCCTAGTTCTCAGTTAGACACAAGAAAGGATCCCATTGTGCACATGATTGCAAATAAATGAAGCTTTCTCAGCCTAAGAATAGCAGAAGGGTTAAAATAAAGTCTATATTCATGGATCTGTCAAAGTCTCCTGCCTTGGCAGTCAGCCTAAATGAATGGGGCAGGAATGGATGCATTATGCAGAGCAGCATGTTTTTCCCATCAGGAGACTAGGGCAAGGCAATACAGACCACGTTCTTCAGAGTTGGATCTTGAGCAGCCAATGGAATCTATAGTCATCCTAGATTGAATGTCCGTTTCAGAGGCTGGAGCTGGTACACAAAAAGATGTTTTCCAATTACTCTTTGGAGAAGTGCTGTAGGCAGTGTTTCTATCCCAAATACCCTCCCATTGCTCAGTCAGGGCCAAGTTTGTTCTGTTGAAAAGAGTGGGCTTCTTGCTGGCTGGTTGCTGCGTCAGTGACTTTCCTGAACATGCTTACCATCATGTCTCATTCTGATAACGTGAGCAAGTCATTGTCCACAGTGTCCTAGTCCCAAAACTCAGGCCCTGACAGTTCATCTTTATCCTTGAGTCAGAATCTTCCTAAGGAAGATTACAGCAGTTCCCAAACATGGGGACATTAGAGTGACCCAGGTCCCTTGTTCAACCAATGTTTTGCCAATGGGAATTGTCACCTGGGTTTCTCTGTCAAGTGGAATCCCTAGATACACACAAGAGGGTCCATCTCCCACAAAGTGTCTTGTTGTTTCACAGCTCTTAAAAAATGTCTCTTACAACAGTACATATTTTGAAAATCATGCTCATGCTTTTTTTTTTTACATGGAAAAAAGGATCCATGTGTCTCTTCCTTTAGTCACTGTTAGGGAACCTTTCTGATGCCATCCTCTCTTGTTCCCTTACAGGAAGCCTATGTGATGGCCAGTGTGGACAATCCTCATGTGTGCCGCCTCCTGGGTATCTGTCTGACCTCCACCGTCCAGCTTATCACTCAGCTCATGCCCTTTGGTTGCCTCCTGGACTATGTCCGAGAACACAAGGACAACATTGGTTCCCAGTACCTACTCAACTGGTGTGTGCAGATTGCAAAGGTAAATGGAGAAGGAGCCCTGACCACCAGAGAACATGTAGAGCAGGCATCTGTCTACCTTTGAAATTAGGGCAGATATTTCCATTAAACAAGAAGTGCAGCTGTCTCAGCTTGTTGCACACTGCTCTCATCTTTCGGGAGAAATAATGATCATTAGTAAAAACACCCAAGGAAAACAGCAAGTGGGGAAATAAGGATACTGAAAAATGAGGTATTTAGTCTGCCATCCAGGGATAACTGAGCCAAGAGGATATGTGTATGTGTGTGCACTTGCAGGTTTTTCTTTATCTTAGGTTAAATTTAATGGATCAGCTTGTACACTAAATCAGTGTCATTTCCACCTGCATGTTGGAAATCTAGTCCTCCACGTGTGAACAGTTTTCTCCATTGAGTGTTCAATATGTTTGGTGTTCTTGTCCTTATTTTTTTTGGAGCTCTTTTTGGTGAACACTGTTGTGCTTTGTAGTAGAAGAGTGTGGCTTTCCTCGGTCAGGATTTGATAGCAAGGTAAGTAAACCAGGCTGAGGCCAGAAGGAGGACTTGGAACACTGGTGTGTCTGTGTAGGCAGGGCAAGTGTTATGGCACAAGGCCTGATTTACAAGTCTGAGGAGGCTGGTGGAAGAGAACAGGTGCTCCTACTACATGGAATAGGCTCCTTCAATGTCCTCCTATTGACAGGCTTGCTGCAGAGCCACARAGGGGATGTGAAAGCACACAGTGGCCACGTGGCCCTACCTATTTGCTGTGGTCATGCAATAAGCCAGGTATTGAGCTGTTCACAGTTCACCAAAGGACTCCTAATTTTTTCTCAAACTTCTCTCATCTCCATCTCAGCCCTACAAAAGTTACTTGCATCCAAAGTGCCAAATCCTATTTTTTAATGATAATGGATGTACATTTTACACAAATGAATTTAAAGAATTTGTGGGCAGGGTCTGTCCCTGACTTGTGACATACCCCTACCTCCCACAGACAGCAGGGCAGGGTGTTTAGGGAAGTGTCAGGGACCCCTGAACAGGGGTACAGTGTGTCACCAGGCCAGGGCCATTTCTCACAGCGCTCCTGGTCAGTGGTAGCAGTTGTTCCTGCYAGCTTACTTATGAGAATGCCCTGAACTTGCCTCACCCAATTCTCAGCAGTTGTAAAAAATARCACAAAACAAACAAAAGCACATTCTGGGCACACCTTTTCTGGCAGCTGCCCATAATACCACAAGACTGGCACAGGGTGAGGCTGGCTCCCTCCTGGAACTGAGGCTCTGGGCTGTGCTGGGGAAGTGGGAGGCTTCCACCCAGGATAGCCAGACAGCAGCACATCCTTCTTTGTTCCTATACTTGTGGGGTGGTGATTCTCAGTCACAGCCCCAACAGGCTCCCAGTATGCCAGGGAAGTGAGAAATACTTGATCCTCTATGACCAAGTTTTTGGCATTGTCATTTTCAAAGTCACAGAGGAGTTATATCATCATTATTAGACAATAGTCCAGGAGTAGGGTTGCTGTGCTTTCTTGTATTTGTGAAATGCTTGATAGTTCTGTGTCATTGTATGAAGTTGTTGAGGATGCCATGACAAATTACCACAAATTTGGTGGCTGATCACAACAGAAACTTACTCTTGTATGGTTCTGGAAGCCATAAGTCCAAGATCAAATTGTCTGAAGATCCCTGATCTCCCAAAGRTGCTAGGGGAGGTTCCCTCCTTGCTAGTCCCAGGTTGTGGTGCCACTGTATTTTCTTGGCTTATGACAACATCACTTCAGTCTCTGCCTCTGTCTTCACATGGCTTTATTTCCTACATCTCTACGTCCAAATTCTCCTCTTCTTTCTCATAGATACCAGTCACTGAACTTGAAAATTCTATGAGAGAATATCTTAAATAGTCCCAAAAACATATATGTGAGATGAAGGATATATTAACTAGCATTATTTAGTCACTTCACATATCAAAACATAATGTTATACCCCATAAATATATATATTTATTAGTCATTGGATTTAGAGACCACCCTAAGTCTGGGATGATTCTATCTTAATATCTTTAATTAGATCTCAGAAGCCCATGTCCAAATAAGATCACATTCTATGGTTCTGGGTCAACATGAAATGGGGGGTGGTCTATTCAACCCATTATAGTTGCTGATCTGGGGAGGAGGTGATTAACCCAAAGTATGTTTCACTGGGTATAGAATTATTTCTGGGAGTCTTCTCAAATGCTTACTCCTGGACCCAGGAATTCTTCCTTAAGCTTTCCTCACTGATTAGATAAGGTAGGAAATTGAAACTGTTGTGTTCCCTTCCCAGGAAATCTCCGTTACATTGTTTTATATTCTTCTTAGCACAAATCCTGCCTGAGAAGATCTGGTTTAATCTTTTAAGTTTGTGCCCAGCTGCTCCAACTGTGAGGTGAGCCCKGGCTGTGTCTCCTAGCTTGGGCAGGGCCAACCAAACCCTGCACCCTTGGGGCCAGCTCCTTCTGAATGATTCCTAATGCCCACATCACCAGGGTGTGCCAGGAGATTTAGCATAAATTCTTTAATCATCTCAGACTAATTCCCACCTCCACCAAAGCGACACTTCGTGGAGCTGAGGGTGTAGCATAGTGGAGGAGCACTTGCTTGCCTAGCATGTGCAAGGCTCTGGGTACTATCCCCAATACTGGGGATGAGAGGGGACTTTTTATGTGATGGAGAAGTGACCCTATCTTCTGTGTGAATTGCCGATGTCACCCTTTTACCTTAAAGGGCAAACAGTCTCAGTAGGTTTTCCCAGTAAAGAACAAGGCTTAAAATTTCAGTGGACTCTAATATCAAATCTTGATTTTAGCATTCATGAGCCTYGTGAGCCAGGCAAATCACTTAGTCTTTTTTGCACTCAGTCCCTTTGGCTATAAGATGGTATTCTGCCACCTCTATTTCTGGGTAGAAGGATGAGAACAGAGAGTCTCTGTGAGTCACCTGCCACAGGTTTGGATACACCTTTGATACTCAATAAATGTTCATGTCCTCCTTCAGTTTCCCGTAACTAAAGTAGGTTGGTGTCGRAGTTAAATTCTAATCTAAAATGTTGTCTTATGCTAGGTCCACATCAACTTTCATTTTATTTTAGAATAGCATCTTCTGCTCTGCATCTTTTATTATTCATGAGCTTTTTCCCTCTTTCCTTTGAAATATTACATTCCCATTTGCCTGACTACCAATGTCTGCAGAAATGGAAGTTTATTCAACCCCTAAAATCAGCTTTCTGCAAGCATGATGACAAACATACTAATCCAACAGTGTCTAAGAGAGGTGGGTCCCATTCAAGGGTGGTTTACCAAGGATACTGAACTTGAGTTTCTAGAGCCTGAAACTTTGCTGAGATAGTTTTCTATATAATATTACTCAGAATTTCCACCTGATGTTTAAAGCCACTGTTGTACTTTGCTTAGCTTTATCTTAATTTGAAATCCTTCCCTGATTGGGGCCATTAGTTCTTCATGCGTGAAAGATTTGTTTTTTGATCCACAAGGGAAACCTTATTCTGCCATATTTGAGTAGCCAGCATGGTGGAATATCTATCCCTGGAGGGAAAGAAAAGGAATGCTTTCCCAAATTATAAAGATTGGCTTTTGGATGACAATTTATCTGAGTCTTAAACAATTTTATTTTTATAAGTGTGAAGTGAAAACTACCCAGAAATACTTAGTGGCTGACCAGAAACTAAACTCCTGACATTTTCAAAGTGGAATTTATTGACTTGTAAATGTGCTGTGTTGATTCACAAAGGCATGAACTGTCTTGGGGAGTTTTCTAAATATTGATGGGAGAGCTGACCACTGTTATACAAGTTCATTGTCCTCACTAAACTGCTAAACTCCACTGGGCATAGGAAAAAGACAAAAACAGAGTTGCCATAGGGAAGAAATCAGATTAGTATTGGTGGACTGTAATAGAGCCACCCCTTGCCATATGTGGTGAAAATGGATTCCATTCTCCACTCCCCCCCCCCAAAAAAAAAATCACTCTCAAAGGCTTGTGGAGATGTCACCTRATCATCCATCAGAAAGAGCAGATGTCTCAGCCTCCTGATTCATAAGCAGCTTTCACTCACTGGGAGTGAGTTAGTTGCCTAAGAAATTATGTCTATTCTCTCTAGGTGTATAAGCAAGCTAGTAAACCTCCAAATGTATTACAATCACATGGCAAAACAATGTCATGAAATTTTCTAATCCAAAAATTCTATCCTGAGCTGGGGATGTGGCTCAAGCGGTAAGGTGCTCACTTGGCATGCACGGGGCGCTGGGTTCGATCCTCAGCACCACATAAAAATAAAATAAAGATGTTGTGTCCACCAAAAACTAAAAAATAAATATAAATCTCTCTCTCTCTCTCTCTCTCTCTCTCTCTCTCTCTCTCTCTCTCTCTCTCTTTAAAAAAAAGTTCTATCCTCAGTTCAGTTTGGCAAACACCATTACTGTACCACACCTTTCCCTGTAGAGCCCTATAGTATGCATTTTTATTGCAAAGTCCTGCAAAAATAAAACTGTTTAGACTAGCATTTTCCCAAACTCTTTTTGACAACAGAGCTATTCTATTCATCCAGATTAAGATCTCAGAGAATTGAGTTTTCAAACATGGATCTGATGCTACATTACCACAAATGATATCAGTTTAAGGCTTTTGAGACCAGCCCCTGATGAAATATGAAAGAAGGCTGGGTAGGGGGTGCAAAGGAGATGCTCGGAAAGAAACTGATTTATGGGTGTCATTCTCTGACTAGAACTTTGTATAAATACCAAATTGCACCTAGTTCAATTTATGAGGTTAAAACTTAACAGAGATTTCTAAAACTTCAGTTCAAAGGATCCATTTTACAAGTCTGGAAGATACTTAATTTGATCCCTTTCAAAAAACCCCAGGTATTTTCACTGATTACCCATTGACCGGAATTATCAGTACATGTGAGYTACTAAGAAGATAGGGCTGAGTCAGTGGTGGGTCCTCACATCCCAACAAGGAGATGA